CTTTATTTGAATACCTCTTAACAAGGTGGGACATCATCTCTTGTAAGTCATGTTAAGAGTAATTTGGAGAGAGTCCAGCATGATAATGTATCTCAAATTACTAGAGTATAGTTACTCCTTGAGAATATGTTCATCCCACGTCATGAGATGTCTTTACGTACCACAAAAAATGTTATATCAGATCCTTGAATAGTTCAAAGGAAAATTAATGTGCAAAATATGTTCAAGAGAGCTTAAGCAATCATCCCACAGCCCCCAAGCCTAATCATCAAAAACATGTGATTTTCGTTAGGTTGAAATTAGATCTAATGATGTTGAGTTTTGTGAACTCTCTCTCTCTCTCTCTCTCTCTCTCTCTCTCTCTCTCTCTCTCTCTCTCTCGCTCACACACACACACACACACATTTTCTTGGTAGCTTTGATCTAGGCTCGGCCAAATTGCGCAAAACTTGAAGGCAATGTCAACCCCATTTTGATGAAAGAGTGGGCCATAGTTCCTTGAAAATTCAAAGGCCTGTCTGAACCCGTAGAAGATGGCTTTGGGTTCGAGCCCGGTTTGAGGGTTCCCTTAAGTCGGATCCGGTCCGGTTTGAGCCAGAATTAACGTGCAAGGGTCGGGCTGCAACCGAGGCCTTTGACGAAAGACGCTCCAATGCATCGTTCATTTGGGTCAGGCCAAATTTCAGCCCAATAACGTGCCACAACTACGTAGCTGCCCTGCCACGTAACCTTGTGAAACATCTTTTTTCCCGCTAAAAGTTTCTCTCTCTCTCCTCACTCTCTCTCTCTCTCTCGCTCGGTCGCTCTACCCTTCTCTCTATTGTTTCTTCTCGTCTGTCCCTCTACCTCTCTCTCCCCTTCCCTCTATTGTTTCTTCTCGTCTGTCCCTTTACCTCTCTTTGACCTTGTCTCTATGTTTCATGTGCACTCCTCTCTCTCTCTTTCTCTCTCCCACAAACAGTCTCCCCTTTCTATTTGCCCATCTTGTCTCCAACGTTCCTTCTCGTCCCGCTTATATCGGATCTCTCCCTCTCCTCTTTTCCAACGTTCCTTATATATTCCTCTTTCTGCCCTCTTGTCTCTCTCTCCCTCTCTCTCTCTCTTCGTCATGACCTTACTGTTCGATATGTTTTTGTTTTCTTCCGTCCTCTCTAGATAGACTCACTCTTCACTCTCCCTTACACACCTCCTGCTCGTTTTGTCTCTACTATGGTCTCTCTCTCTCTCTCTCTTTCCGTCTCTCTATTATTGGCCTCCCTGCGTTTCTCTCTCTCTCTCTACATATCTATCTCTCGTAGTGTCTCTCTCTATGACAATCACATCACCTCAGAACCCGCCCCTGCACCTCAAGCAAGTCCGTTTCCTAACACGCTACGAGAAATGTAGGAGACATCCACTCACATCACGTCGCGTGCCAGAACAATCAAACCCTATAATTTAATTAATTGTTATTATACCATAAATGCATTCATTTATTTACATAAATAACCCTCAAAAGCGCCTCCGTACGATGCAATGGACAAAGATGCCCTTTAAATGCCACGTCAGATCCGACGTGGATATTATTAAATGACCTTTAATACTTTTTATCCCCAATTTGGCAACTTTCTTCTACTTTCATAGAGCCACTGGCCCGCCCCCCTTCCCCACCGCTTTGAGCCAAATCATAGCCACGTGGATTTTTCTTTACCAGTTCTTGATGCCATATGTGTTCACCTTCTTAGTCTCATGCAATGCATTCAATCATTTATTCTCTCCATTTTATTTTTTGAAAACAATTATTTAGCGTTTTATTTTTATTCACTTAAATTATATATTAACGTAAAGCATTGAATAAACAATATCGTGGTCACCTTCGATGAAAGTGTGTATGGAATCGGCTGATACATTAAGAGCAATTTAACGAAAACAAAGCAAAGTATTGATTTCGATTTATTATGCTGATTGGGTACATAATAAAAAAAATGTACTATAATGATGTATTTTTTATAATTTCATTTTTATTTTATGACCGTCACATGGTATCCTCTTCATTTGTTCAATTTCATCGTATTATAATTAAAATTTGCATTATTATCTTAAAATTTCATATATTAGCTGAGTAGCGCTGGTCTTCTCCGTGTAGCATAATGGCCTGGTTCAACTCCCTCTCCTCTCCCCACGCGTCGTTCTTAGCGATTGAGGTGCTATAGAGTGAAAGAGAGAGAGAGAGGTGCGCGTGCATTTAAGTAGTTTTAAATGGATAGAGAGAGAGAGGGAGAGATACGTAGATAGGTAGCTAGATTTGTATAAGGAGAAATGGAACGAATGTATAGGTTCTGAAGGGTATGTAGAGGGAGATCCATAGACACATTGCTAGGGTTATGCGTTTATATATAGAAACAGAAAGACAGGGTGATAGAGAGAGAGAGAGAGAGAGTCTCTCTTTCTCTTTCTACCAGAGTGGAGGGAAATGAGACTCTCTCATTTAATTTTCCTTCCGGTTTTCCGGGTTAAAATGGGAGGAAAGAGAAGGGGTCTGCGTCAATTGGGGGCTTGCCCATTCCCCATGCAGCGTCACGTCCCAGTTTCCCGGGATTCATCGTCTCATCTTTCCCCTCGTCTTGTTCCTCGCAGGGGGGGCCGAGAGAGACAACTTGCGGACAACTGCTGTCTTTGCTTCTTCCCCCCTTCCTAGTTTTCCTGCTGGTCTCTGCTCATGAAGATCAACTTAGAACAAGGAACCCGTCCCCATATACCTCTAGAGAGAGAGAGAGACAGACAGACAGACAGACAGACAGAGAGACTTACGTCGTGTGTATTATTTTCTAGGGATGATAAATCTGCAGAGGTTTTCCTCATCACTTTTGCTTCTTCCCTCCTTCCTCGTTTTCTTGCTGGTCGGCTCATGAAGATCAACTTAGAACAAGGAACCCGTGCCCATATTTTACATACATTTACGCATAGATATCTCTCTCTCTAGCAAGAGAGAGAGAGAGAGTCCTTACGTCGCATGTAGTATCCTTTAGGGATTAGAAATCTGCACAGGGTTCGCTCGTCACTGTCGCATACGGGGGAGGTAGAGAGAGAGAGAGAGAGAATTTTATGTCCCTGTGCGATAGCACTTATCAGGTTGATCGATTATACAAAGTTGAAGCGCCATGGAGATCTCGAACTGACGGATTTCAAGAGTATTTTCCACCGTAAATCCAGGGATGAATTGCAGACGAGAAAAAAGCCGTTAGTTGACCCCGAAGGTGAAGTGAAGGGGTGGAGGCGCACCGTCAAATCTAAGTCATGACTATAAGTTTCGCCATGACTTCTACTTCCCGAGGCCTTTCTTTTAGGGTTCCACCGGCACCGTCTTCGGCTATCGTGGAGTAGCATTCCACTCTCCATTGACCAGTGCTAGACCGAGGCAAGCCTGAATCATAAACAAAAAGAAGACCGTACCAGAGGGGGGGGGGGGGAGAGAGAGAGAGGGAGGGAGGAGGCATGAATGGACTCCCTTAGATCTTTCTGTTCCCTTGGTCATTTAGGGAGGCGAACGAACCACTTCCCGAATTAAGACAGCGGGTGCATCGGAATTGAACAACAGAGAATGTCAAATCTCGAAGAGGTAAAGATAGATAGAGAAAGAAAGCGAGAGAGAGGGAGAGAGTGGGTTCCCGTGTTGGTAATTTTATTAGGAATAAGATTTGATCGTAGGAACATGATCCTGCCGATCCGGAAGAAAAGAGTGAGAGTCCGGGAAAAGCAGACAGCCCGGCTTCTCTCTCTCACCTCGGTCTCCTCTGCAAACCGCAATCTGGATATCCTCCCTTCATTTACAAGCTGCCCCATCGGAACCCATCTCGTCAGATCTCATCTCCTGCAAGGAGAGGAAGATCCAACAGGAACCCGGTTGGTGGAGAGCTCTGTCGGTGTCCCCAGGGTCTTCTTCGTGGGGATCTCCATCTCTCCAAGGAGGGTCTCGAGCAGAAGCTGTCAGCTTTGGCCCCACGCTGTTCCTTCATGGCGAGACTGATTATGACATGGGATTTCCACTGCCGCCTTCGGGGTCTCTCCCCCCTGCAATCCATATTAAATATACAGTTTTCATGGAGAAGTGTGCTTCTTTCTCATTTGTTCTTCAAGTTTAGGGCAGAAGATGGCTGAGCTGGGGAATTAGGAAGCTCGGTCTGGTGATAAAAGCGAGAGAATCTCTGGAGGGCAATCAATGGAGGAGAAGCTTTTTCAGATAAAGACCATGAAGCAGGCCTGGACAAGGAATAGTGTCTCCAGACGTTCTCTTATATAACGCGTGTTACAGAATTCTCTCTCTTCAGACATCCAGGTCCAGAAAAAAAAAAACATAAAATTGGGAAAAAAACAAAGTGTAGATGTGATGATTATTGAGCTCTTCTTGTCGCCATCCTCCCCGCTCTCTATCTCACAGGCTACAGCCAAATTCCCTTTACACCATCAGATTAAGTCGTTGACTTCCAGTCAAGCCAAGGAGCAAAGGCCGGTTCCTCCCCATTGCCCTTCCGGGTCCCCTCCTTCCCAAATCCAGCCGCGCTTGCCCGACGCGGAGTTGACTTCACGGGTTCATACAATTAGCCTCTTTCTAAATTGGGTATAATACTAAATTTCTTGGTCAGCGCTGTCTACTGTCCTGCCGAACATACACCAACAAGAAACACAAAAAGAGAATAAGCATACCCATCAATAGATTATACAATCCAAGGTACTGGGTGGGCGCTGGGCAGAGGAAAATGCTTCACCTTTAGGGTTAGTGATGAACGAAGACCGCCATACAGAACTCAGCTTATTGAAGCTCTTCCGCCTCGTCGGCCTGGAACCTGCAGCAGCTAGTCAGCAAGCTGTTCATAGATCAGCGCTGTTTCTAAAAAGAGATAATTAGACGAAGGAAACTTGGTCGGAAGCCATCAGATTAGTCATGAAAATCTGCCCACCTTATGTACAGATGAAGCGGAGGATCCGAAGGGAGTCAACGGAGACCGAGGGGACAACGGCGGTCAGAAGAAACTCAGCTCGGTGAAGCCGCGAGAGTAGGGCAGGAGCTCCTCCACCTCCACCCTGGAGCTCCCGCTACCGGTGTTCTTCCTCGTTCGGCTGTGGCTGATCGTCTCCACCTCCGCGGCGAAGAGGCTGTACACCGGCCGGTGATCCGAGAACCTCGATTCTCCCCGGACGTACGATATCTGGCTCAGCCCCCGCCCATACCACAGAATCCGATCGCACCTTCATCACACAGAAGGGAGAGAATGAGAGAAAGAAAGAGAGAGAGAGAGAGAGAGGATTCAGGAACTAGGTTTGGTGGAGAAGGGGCAGAAAGGAGAGGTTTTTATGTGTAATGACGGCTCACCAGGCGGGGGTCCGCCGCTTCTCCTTTGGATGGAGGTCGTCGCCGGCGTATCGGTCGGAGTTGGTGGAGTATTTGTATGTGGGGGGGAAGTAGATCCTCCCTTCGTTCCAGCCCACGAAGACGCGGCCCGATCGCTGCTCTATCCGGAGCTGCACCAGTTGCAGCAGCAGGTCACTCAGCAGTAGCAGAAGAGAAAAAAAACGAGCGCCATCCAGGGCTCAGCAGGTCACAGATGACCCACCTGGTCGTTCTCCAGCAGCACCTTCCAGTTGCGCATCTCCACGAGCGCCTTCGCGGTGCGATAGGAGAGGGCGATGCGGTAGTTCAGATCTCCGAGCCATATAATGCGACTGCGGACCAGGCAGGAGGAAGACGAACCAGTGAGTGAGTTGGGGATAGAGCTGATGCGGCCATTAATGGCGGGGGGATTGGAGATCGGCTTACTCGTGGTCGAGGATCGTCTCAGGGGACCTAGTGTGTTCGAGGCCGTTGACCCGAGGGAACCGGGTCTTCCTCAGGATCTCCATGACGTCGGAGTTTCTGCGCAGCTCGTCGCCCTCCTTCTGCCCGGAGGTGAGGTGGGTGCAGACGAAGCAGAAACTCGTCCGATGCAGCGACATGCTGATGGAGATAGAACCCTGAGGACAGCACTCTCGTCGTCAAGAATCCAGAGAGAGAAAGAGAGAGTTGCAGAAGAGAGAGAAAGAGAGAAATAAGGGTACCTTGTTCCCGAGGTAGCCCATGAGACCGCGGCCGACGCAGGAGACCTTCATGTTCTTGACGTCGTCTTTGAGCTCCCGGCGGACCCAGACGGTGAGGAAGATGCCCACCATCTGCTTGCTGGCAACCAGGCAGTACCGGGGCTGCCCCGGTGGCCGCTCCCTCTCCTCCGCCGCCGCCGCCATGAAATAATTGCCGCAGCCGTAGGACATCGGGGAGAAGAAGAGGTTCCCGGGGGAGTCGCCGGCGGCAGCGCCGCCGCCGCCGGCGTTCTCGTCGTCGGAGGAACCGCCGCCCCAACGGCCACTGGGATCGTAGTCGCTCGGCCGGCTGCCAAACATCACCCGGTCGCAGACGCTGAACCTCCGGTCGAGCCGCGGCTGCGCCGCCATGGTGTCGCCGTCCATCCTCATGCTCCGGCTCAGGGACTGGAAGGACCGCCGGTGGAACATCGAGGACGCTCGCCGGCGAGAAGCTGACCCCTCGAAGTCGGCGTCCAGCTCCACGATCGGGTCCGGCACCGGCGACGGCGTGTAGTAGCTGGCGGCGCCGCCGCCGGTCGCCGGCAGGTTGTTCAGGGTCCTCCTGAGGAGCGAGACCCACTTCCTGGCCGGGCCGTTGTCCTCCGTCCCCAGAACGTTGCCGGCGTTGAGGGGAACGATCTCCTGGAACCTGAAGGAAGCCTCCGGCGATGAGTCCTAGCGAGAGAGAGAGAGAGAAACCGGTGGCGATGTGTATCGCCGGAGGTGTACCCAAGAACGTAGATGTCAGCCGGCGGCGACGTGTGGAGCCAGTCGTCGAGATTCAGGTGGCCCGGCGGCGACTTACCGCCCACATTCCACGTTGCAACGAAGATCCTACGCGCGACGAAAGATTTCAGGGAAAGAACAGGTTTTTATGGGATTCGAGGAGGATCAAATCAATCACCTGTACTCCTGGAGATCGGTGGCATGGCCGGGATCGATCTCGAACTTGCCTCGCCGGCCTCGATCGGAGCTCCTCCTGGACGATCTCTCTGGAGATCCAGAGGAAAATGGAGCAGGGGATGAGAGACGGGTCGGAAAATTCAAAACCAGAGGGAGGGGGGGGGGCTTTAGAGAGAGAAAGCTGCGACGGGGTGGAGTGGGAGTGGTCCGGAGCAGGAAGAACAGGCCTGGTTTCAGAGACCCCACCTGTTCTGCTTTTCTTGACTCCCTCTCTCTCCGAGAAGCTGGACCTCCATTTCCCGTCCTCACCTGAAAAGACGAGAGGGAGAGAGAAACACAGATGGGTGAGGAAAAGGCGGGGGAGCGCGATCACGAATTCTAGCAAAAATGGAAACTTGAGTGAAGCCCTGCTCTGATAACAAGGTAGCCAGCCTCTTGAAGACGATGAACAAGCAGCTCCAGGGGACGAGCTCTGATCTTCGGGGCAAGAGAACCAATGGGTTCGTTTCTCCTCCCCCACCCCACCCTAAAACCCTAGAGAGAGAGAGAGAGAGAGAGAGAGAGAGAGAGAGAGAGAGAGGGAGGGAGGGAGGGAGAGGGATACCTCTGCCGAAAACATCTCGATCGGCATGGAAGTCCTGGGGCTTGCTCTTGATGTTGAACCATTTCCTGACCAGGCTCTTCGACCACGACAGCTTCTCGAACAAAAGGGGGGAAGAGCAACAACAAAGAAAACAGCACGAAGGAGATTAATAATCAGCAATTCCAGGGGAAGAATCCAATTCCACGGCAGAGGAGGTAGAGCAGAAAACCTTGCTCTTCTTGATGTTCTCATCTCTCATTGTCTCAACCCTTCTTCATACAGCTATCGTCTTCTTCCTCCCTTCCCCACCCCCTCCAGCCACCTCTGTAATTCAGGAACGGGAAGAAAGTGGAGGAGCACACGGAAACCAGGAGCAGGGAAAGAACGCGTTTCAGATTCCCTGTGCTTCACTGAACTGTTCTTCCTTCCTTCGTCCTCCCGGAGGGGTTGGGTTCTCTGCGAAGGGAGGCGGGAATTGCAGAGGGGAAGCTCGGGAGAAGAGATGAGATGAGGGAGGGCGAAGCGTGAGTCAACAGGCAATAGAATGGAATTTCCAGCGCAGGTTGCTGCTGTAGGGGGACAATGCGGGCTCAGAGAAGGAGAGGAAGCAGTGGAAGAAGGGAACAGGCGAGAAGACCTCGGCCTTACAGCAAGCATCGAATTTGAAGAGAGCCAAGTGCGGCAGACAACCCCTCTTTCTACCCCACCTCTCTCTCTCTCTCTCTCTCTCTCTCCATCTGCTCTCTCCTCCCTCTTTTATTACCACACTCTATTATCTCTCCCCTCCTCTCACATGCCCCCTAACTTTTTCTTCCTCCAGTCTCTCACATCTCTTCACTCTCTCTCTTCCCTCACTGCTTTTTCTCTTCTCTCAGAACATCCAACGTCTCTCTCTCTCTCCTCGCCACTCCCCTCGAGGGCCCTCTATCTCTCCCTGCCCGCGGCCAACGCCATTAAACTACTGGTTGGGTGTGGGGGCGGAGGAAATATTTAGAACCGTCGGGGCAGCAGCTGGCCGCAGACCCAGCAGAGAGCGCCCACCCCCCCCCCCCATCTCTTCTCCTTCTTCCTCCTTCCTCCTGTGCCCGCCGGTCAGTTCAACTGTGCCACTCTCCATTTGGTCTTCTCATGGGACAGGGAGTAAAGCAATTAAAGAGAAAAAGATAAAGAGCAGAGAAAGAGGAGGAGAGAGAATGTAGAGAGAGAGGAGAGAGTTCACCGCTTTGCCTTTTTTCTCTTCCTCCTCCCCCTTGAGGAGGAATCTTGGGACCGGGTGTGGATTTGGGAGGGTGATCCATCATCATCCATCTGCGCTGGTGTTCGTATTAAAACTCTTCCCCACTTCCGAAATCTCGCCTTATTTACTGTTCCCGATCCATCCAAAGTTTCTTTTTCTTCTTCCGGATTTCCCAAATGGGTGGTGGGTTTTGTTTAATACAAACCGGGCAAGCAGAATGTTCAAACGATCTGGCTTTTCTTGAGTTTATTTCTCTGTTCTAGGGTTTCTGGGAGCATGGGAAGCCCCTTTCTTGGGGATGGGAATCTCTGTCTCCCCCCTCTGCTCCTCCCTCCATCTGTAACCCTAGTTTCTCTCTCCGGTGGAAGCCGTATTTGGAGCGGAAGAAGAAGAAGAAGAAGAAGAAGAAGAGGACTAGGGTTTAGGCTTTATCCCACGGGCCTCTGGTTACTGTTCTTCACTGTTCCCTGGAGATGGCTGCTCCGGCGAGCCCACCGACGAGAATCCATGGAAACTTCGCCGATCCAATTTGATCGGGAGAGGAGGGGGAGGGACCACCAAGGGCTCCACCGGCGCCGCCGGCGCCACCTCCGTCTCTGACTCCGGCGAGAGGATCCACGAGCCTGCGCCATTGAGATGGGGGCGGCACCATCATCGTCTTCTTTCTCCCATCTCCAGGCCTGGGAATCCATCCCCCGTCCGGACACGCTCGCACCAGTCAATCCTCCGGGATGCGCCAATTGGCTGAGCGGTGGGCCCCATTATCCAGGTGGATGGGTCCCTCTGGACCCAGCTGGTTTTGAGTGGGGGCCACTTTCCACGTGCGGGAAGTCGAACAGACACGTGTAGGTTCGGACCGGCGTTCCCGAGCATAGGCGGCGGCGGCGGCGGCAGCGGCGGTGGCGGTGGTCTAGTTGAAAGCTGAATCATGCGACTGAGGAAACGAAGGATGCGGTCAAAGCAGATATCGCTTCCGTACTTTGAGCAAAGCATCAAAATCTCTCTCTCTCTCTCTAACCCCTTCTCTCTCTCTACCCCCTTCTCTTTTGCTTTTCAGTTCTTTTTCCGCAATCCTTACTTCCCCAACGGCCGAAATCACCTCCTTTGGCGTCTACTTCCTCATGATTCTCTCTCTCTCTCTCTCTCTCTCTCTCATTCACTCTTTCTCTCTAAACGAACAGGGGAACCGTGGTGCTGACAGATGGCAAGCCCTGGAGCTCCCAAAGACATCCTCCAGTCCGACTACATACAAGTCGAATGAGTGGCCACCCGGTCTTCGGCTTTTTTGCCCAAACCCCCCTTGAAATCTATCCTTCTAAGTAAATAACCGCGAAGGTGGTTATTTACGCTGTGGAATAAGAAATCCCCAAAAAAGAAAAAAACAGATATTTATATCAATAAATTCTTCATTTTAATGCGTATGCTCACAATCGCTTTGCACGGATGCGTATGCGTATCTGCAGGTATGTATGATCAGGGATTTAGAGAGAGAGAGAGAGAGATGGGTAAATATCTTGGTAAAAAATTAGTAAAAATACAAGGACACGAGAAAATGGGCCGTGTCGAAGGGAGCTTTTGTTGTGGGCCGGTGGGAGGAGGGAATTTACGAAAACAACCCTCATTCATTATTTTTGGCGGCGAAGGGGAGTGTAGCCTTTTAGCATGATGATTATTTCCCCGTTTTAGTCTAAGTCCTAGGCTGCACACACCCAAGAATATCGCGTCGAGAAAATATCGCCCACTTTTTTTATATATAAACTTTCCTTGATATTTAAATTTCCAGAAGGTTAACTCTTTTGAATATTAATATATAAATGATGCGAATATTCTTATATTATTCTTGCTTTGTTGGGATTTCTAATTTGCTATGATTCCTGTAAAGCTCATCAGCTTTTTCGTCCATTGCTGTAAAAAAAAAAATTCTTTTTTTACCAAGATAGTCAATGCACAAAAAATTCTCATTGAAGCTAATGATGTTCTTGGAGAGGGAAAGAGAGAGAGAGAGAGAGAGAGAGAGAGAGAGAGAGAGAGAGAGAGAAGGAAGTTGAATAAGAAGTTCGTATGAACATCTCACTTTTAATCTTAATTAAATGAATTGAAAATAGACTAAACATTTTGGCTGGAATTTTCAAACTAATTGGTCACAATTTGAAATTTTTTAGCTGCATAATAAAATCGAAGTCCACTTAAAATTATGGAAGGCACTTCAAGAGGTTATTGAATATTTTATTTGATGTTTTTTACGTATTATAAAATTTAGCATACAAGTTTTTAAATATTAAGTGTAGAAAATCAAAGTATCATTGAATCCTTCAGATATTAAATGGATTAGAGCCTCTTTCCTCCACATTGAAAATAATAATAATAATAATAATAATAATGAGAAATAAAAAATTAAAGAGTTGCATCAATTAGGAGCAATACTTTGCAATGGGTGGATTTTCATGGTGTTACATAAAATCCATATTCATGGAAACATGAGAAAAGATAACGATAACAAGATTCAAACGATCAAGAAGAGACCAAAGAAGAAAAAACTAACTTCAAGGTTGTTGTTTGGTATTGGTAGACTCTTGGGATTTTCCATTGCTTGAGGCTATATAAAGTCAACGAGCCATCCACGGAGAGTCCTCCTGATTGATCGGTATTTGGAGATGAGACCCAATTGGGACAAGGTTTCTAAATTTGTCCAGACTCTCTCTCTCTCTCTCTCTCTCTCTCTCTCTCTCTCTCTCTCTCTCTCTCTCTCCTAATCTATTTTCAGTCCTTGAGAGTGGGTTCTTATTGGGTTCTCATATTATAAAAAAGGTAAAAAATGCAATATTTGCCCTTACTAATATGATTTTCTTTGTATATAGTGGCAGATTATTCAAATGCTGCCCAAAAAATAAGAAGCAATGGGCTAATGGGCAGTCATAAGTTCCTATTTATATGGAGCCAAACTCTAACGGGTGTAAATTTATAATAAAGTCCTCTTCCTGAAGAGAACATCCAAGGAAGTTTACATAAACGCCCTCCCCATAAGGTTCCTAAAAATAATATGGTCATACTAGGATAAAAATTAATGTATTTATCATAAGAAACATATTTTTCAGTAAAAATAATTATGCAGAAGTTGACTGAAGAGAAACTGGTGGAAGACCTCACTGGATCAAGCTTCTAGGCTGCTTAAATAAATTATATTTTCAAAATAACCGTAAAAACTTTTTTTTCTGAAATATATCGTGGAAAATAATTATATGCAAAAAAAATAAATTCAGGGCAAAGTGGGGCTCCATCCATACCCTTCGCCACATGGGCCGTGGGTTCCGAATGGCAATTAGACCCATATGGGCTTCACACGACAACTCTCATCCGGCCTATTGGGGCTTCTGATCCCCTGGTCAAGCCCAGCCCATCCGGTAGACCCGTTGGGCTTATAGTTTTGGACCCCATCCGGCCCATTTACAGGCTTCGCCTTCAATAGGGAGACTGGCGCTCCACTCTGACGTCTTTGCTTCTGGGTGCTGCTAGAACAGGTCCTCCCTTTGCTCGAAGATCATAGCCTCAGTTGGCCGAGGTATTTCGTTCATCCTCGTAGCGTCTGATTCGCGAAGCTTTCGTGGGGTTCTGGATCTGCAGCTTCTTCTCCCTGTTGGTCTTTCTTCTATCGGGAAGCAGTGTATGTTCGTTCTTTGAGATCCGAGGGAGTCGATTCATGCGATTAATTCATGGTTGTTGTTGTTGTTATTGACGATGATAGTGATGATGTTTCTGTTCTTCTTGTTGTATTTGTTTATAGCTCTCTAACAATTAAGGAATCATCCAATCTCGGGCCACGATTCGGTCCCTGGGGAAGAGCACTGCCATCTAATCCCTAGGAATAACTTTTCTGGCGAGTGGCCTAGGGTTTCTTTGGTTTTCCTTCTTGTGGTTCGGCTGGCTTCTGGTTTCGGGGGGAGACGGTCTCCCGTCCACATCGATGAGGGGGGGAAGAGGAGGAACTTGAATCAACAGCGCTGGTTCTTCATGGATTCTAGGATAGGGACGATGATAATCTAGAATTTCTCTCTAGAATAGAAGGGCGATGCATGTATTCAAATCGGGTGTTCTTGCAGATATCTGTGGTATCCGCAAATGGGGCGGTAAGAATTATTATTATTTTTCCAACAGTACGGCGCGAAAATTCAGATGTTTTTTTTAAATCTGGGAAGAAAATTGGGGCGGGAAGATTTTTTATTAGTTTGATAGATGGGTGAATGAATTAATTCAATTATTTTCTTCAGCCAGAGTTCCTTACAACATCCCCCTTTCCTCTCCCTCCACTCGTTCTGGTGTGATGGGAAGAACCAACCATGTAAGGGGAACTCCAGACTCGTCTCAGTCACATTTACTGAGCTGATCTTTATTGAGATGCATTCATGCGTTTCTAGTTGAGGAAATTATATTTACAATAATATTTAATCGTGATGATGTTTCAGGCGAATTCAACGCCCATTCATTCATTCATTCAGCCTTTCCCCTACTACATTTATGGGTTGATTGAGGAACGAGTATCAACATCGCGAAATATTTATTTAATTTTTCTTTTCTCAGTGTTTGTTCTCTTTTTCTATAAGAAGTAATATACGCCACAGTCATTCCAGAAAAGGACGGGTTAATGCATGTCAGAAGATTCTGACGGTCACTTTTTAGCTTTCTCAGGTTCACTTGTCCATAGAATGTGACAAAGGTCAGCCCCCCCCCCCCCACCAAACACAGGACGTTGACCCTCGAGCTCTAGAAGTAGAAGTCAACCCTTGAAAAAATGAACACAGATCTGTAGAAGCTCATTCTAAAACATTCCCCTGCCATGGGCTTATTGCTCGGATTTGTACGTGGAGAAGGCAATGGGTTCTTGTTTGGATCTACAAAATGGGCCTCTTTTTTTCAGAATTTCTCGCTGTTCTTGCCGACCATGAAGCCCCATCAATCAATCCTCTGTTATTTCTGCAGTCTCTCCGGCGATGAAGAGGGCAGGGCCAGGCGCCGATCAAGCCGACCCCAGCTCTTCCGATTCCTCCAGTTCTGACTCCGAGGATGAGGCACCCTATGCCAAGAAGAACCTTGTCGACAAAGGTATGAACCATGATCATACCCTTTTTTGGTTAAATTCTGGATGGCTGCAGTGGAAGTGACCGACGGAAAGAACTATGATCATACCCTTTTTTGGTAAAATTCTGGATGGCTGCAGTGGCAGTGACTGACAGAAGTGGAGTGGATTGGGGGGTTTCTTCTTCTTCTTCTTCTTCTTCTAATGATGATTATTGGTTCTTTTGTGCAGCTGAGGCTGGGAAGAAGAGGAGGGGGGTTCTCGACTATGGCGCGCTCAGCCGCCATGGCTACCGAGGGGGGCTCTCTGTTCTGAGGGTGCCGCCGCCGAAGGCGGCCGACGAGGGCAAGCCCGACTGGTCCTGGTCCAACGGCAAGCGGAAGGAGGGGGAGGAGGAGTCGTACGAGGAGCGGGAGCGGACGAGGGCCGCGGCCAATGCGGCGGCGGTGGCAGCATCGCATGGGGGCGGCGGCGCCGCAGCGGCCACCGGCGGCGGGGGGAGGGAGAAGGGCGGGAAGTCCTTCTCGCAGAAGGAGAAGCGGAAGAGGGACCTCGGGCAGGCCAGCCGGGGGAAGAACTACGTCGAGGAGGAGAAGAGGCTTCTGAGGGACAGCGGCGTCTACTCCGGCTTCGATTCCTGACCTCGGTGATGATGATGATGATGATGATGATGATGCGATGTCCCTTGTTCTTCCTCGTCGGAGTGCCGCCTCTGGTTCTTCTCCCTCGTCGAAGGGTGACGAACCACATTAAGAATTTAAGTGATCGCTCTCTCGCTCTCTCCGTGGTTTCTTTCGATTGGTGTCAAAATCCGCCGTCTGTTCAGAATGGAGAGAAAACGAGAAGAAAACCCATCACGAGGGCAACATCTTCCCGGTCTCTATTGAAGGCTTCAACGAGAAACTGCAAATCTTGTAGACGGGGATGACAGATACAGAGAGAGAGAGAGAGAGCAAAAATCACACCATATATTCGGCCCACCAAGTTCCCGGAGGCACCACGTATAAGCAAGAATCTCCTTATTCACATCACAACCCCGCTTCCCAATCCGAAGGGCACGTAATCGCACCAAACGCTTTCTACCGCAATACCAGAAAACCCACGCCGGAAATGGAGCCGAGAGAGAGAGAGAGAGAGAAGAAAGAGGAGGGAACCCATGTCAATCAGGGGCCGCGGGTGGGGTAGAAGCAGAAGCAGCCGCCCATCTGGTCCTCGGGGATCATCCCGCCGCCCTTGCTGGTGTCGATGGCCTCGAGAAGCCTCACCACGTCGGCCATCTCCGGCCGCTTGTCAGCGTTCGCGTCCCAGCATTTTTTCATGATGCTCGCCAACGCGCTGGGGCAGCACCGCGGAATCTCCGGCCGCAGATTCTGATCCACCCCCACCAAAATCAAATACCCAAATTAATTTATTTATTTTTTATAAAAAAAGATGATGCATAAAACCAATCCACAAGATCCAGGGAGGGCATTCGACGAGTGGGTTCCGAGATTTTTGGAGAGAAATGAGGGGATTAGAAGAAAAAAAAAAGACCCCACCTGGCGGACGACGGCGGAGGAGACCTCGGAGAAGGTGAGGTCGGGGTAGGGCATGTCGCAGCAATAGATCTCCCACAGACAGATCCCGAAGCTGTACACGTCGCAGCTCCTGTTGTATGGCTTCCCTTCCAGGACCTGCTTGGTTGGTTGCTCGTCAGCCTACTAAAAAAACAGAGCTGGCTCGGGGTGGTGGGTTCAACCAATATGCTCGAAATCACCTCAAACGAACACGAGGATCGATAAAAAAATAAAATTACTACTAAGAAACCATCAGAAATGTCTCATCTTCAAGTGGGCAACAACAACACAAGGCTCATGGTTTCCATTTTTGGAATAATAAAAAAATGATGATTAACATGAATTTTGCCAAAAGGGTGGGTCATATATGATATATATCCAATAGAAAAAAGCATGGGTGGGTGGGGCTCAATGATGAACAAAAAAAAAAAAAAAAAAAAAAAAAAAAACTCAAGAAGAAAACGAACGAATTCCGTGATTAAAGGGTGTACAGATGGGTACCTCCGGAGCCATGTATCCAAGGGTGCCCGTTTCGCCGGTCATCTCCTGGGGATTCTGAGCTTCCACACGGGCGACACCGAAATCCGCTATCTTTAGCGTGCGGCCGATGTCCAGAAGCATGTTCTCAGTCTTCACATCTCGATGCACAATCTTCTTCGAATGAAGGTAGCTCAGCCTGCAGGAGCACGACGAACCAAAAAGAAAAGTTGGAAAAAAAAAGAAAAAGAAAAGAAAAGAAGGAATGCCCACTTCACTCTGTCTATTCTATAATAAACCAGAGCCATTAGATTGAAGTGTGAGGGGCAACCCCCTACCCTCTTGAGAGGTCTAATGCCAGCTGAATCACAATCTTATAAGCAAGCTTTCTCCGCCTGTTCTTTATCAAGAACTGCTTGAGCGTTCCCCCAGGCAGGTACTCCACCACCACACAGCATGCCCTCGATGGGAGAGAATTGAGACCATTGCTCGAAGGATTAGCCTGCGGGATCCTCAGTTCAGAGGTCCCCATCGATGCCCCGACAAACTGTAGCCAACAAAAAAAAAAACACCAATTTTTTAGTCCCTTCTGCATAAGGTTTCAACCAGTAGTAACTTATCCTTAAAAGTCAACGGGAAGACCTCACCTTGGTGACGTTTGGATGATCGAGCTTATGCCAAACAGCGACCTCCTGCTGAAATGATGCCCGAAGAGCAGCAGTCTCTGAATCACTGGAAAAGCCATCCCCTCCCCAGTCCAATACCTTCACTATAATAGGAGAAATGGAGCTATCTTACGGACAATATACAAGCTAGATAAGAACCAAACTAAAATCCACAGAATGACAAGCGTCAGACAGGATCAAAACCCGGGATAATTGAGAGGTTAGTTTTAAAAATCTTTCCCCGTCCATCAATTGTGGCCGAAAATCCTAAACGCATGAGATAAATGACCCATTATTGCCAAAGAGGAAAAATCATTTTACTGGTGGAAAATAAAAGTTCGAGAGCATGAGAAATCCTTGGGGATTAATACGTATGTTGACTCCAGCAGGGAAAGGCAACAGTAAAAAAAATACAAATATAAATCAATACGCAGATCGAGCTGTCAAGAAGAAATGGTGATGATATTCCGGGACACTGAAGAGAAGATCACTGGCGTTGTCTTTATTAGCAGCATAGCATAAATGGGGTCAGGTAGATATAATGGAGCATCATGTGTACCCATCAGCCTTCTTGGTTGATGATTGTCTGTGAGATGGTGCAAGAGAAAGGAAAGACATCAATCCTACCAGTCCTGCTTAGGCCTATTACTCAATAGGTAAGTGCAAGTGCCCTTGAGTGGATAGATCTTCAGGTAGTGAATGAATTTTAAATAGTTTACGAAAAATGAATATCTTCATAATTATGTAACCATATACGCAGAGTGAATCATTTCACTTATTCTCCAAATGTGACAGGTAGTCACCGCACATGAAATGAAAAAATTGAAATGTGAGAGGGAGTCTTGGTGTAAATCTCTAGAAACACTGAATCACTCCATTCATGCAAAATGAGGATTGGAAACAGGGAATTCAGAAGCATTGGGTTGGTGTTGCTAAAAGTTGTGATGATCAGGTCGATTCATTTGCACAGGTTGATTCATCCAATTTAACAGTATAAAGTCGGGCCAAGTTCTTACCTACAAAATTCCCTGAATGATACACACTCAGACTATGTGCCACATTATTGGGAAAATCAAAGAGAAAACGAAGGCGGCCATCATCCAAAGCAAGAGGAATCAAAAGCATGTCCATAATTAAGTAAACCACAGAGGAAAAAGAGAGAACTAATCAAGATCTCTCTCTCTCTCTCTCTCTCTCTCTCTCTCTCTCAAGAGCATAGGAGGAGCAGTATTACCAAAGACAAACCGGGAAAGGGAATAAATCATACATAATTCAAGACAGAAAGTGGAAGTTTTCAGGTATACCTGCAACGTCTTGGTTGTCGTAGTTGCCTCTGTAGACAGTCCCATAGGTCCCACGGGCGACCACATATCTTAGATTCAGCTTTGAGAGATCGATTTCCCAGTCTTCCCTCGGCCTCTGGGCCGCGCTCTTGTCTTTGGACCAAGCCTTGCTGAGACTCTTCTCCAGCTGCATATCCAAGTTCTTGAGGTCGATCTTGTCAGCTCTGAAGAACAGGTCCTTACCGCTGAGGCTCCTGAACCCCTTCGACTTGGAATGCAAACCAGTCTCACCGGCACGGGTGACCACCGCATCTGCCCCTTCCCCCTGCTTCCCCTTCGATTCCATCTTCCCAGAATCAGCCCCCGTCCCAGCAGAATTGGCTCCCGAATCCATCCAATCAGATCCTCTGTAGATACTACGACAGAGAAGCTGTAGGCATTATATGTTTTTCGCCATCATCTACCACCTTGCGGTGCGAGATTTCAAGAAGGAGAGACGCGGGAACCGCTTCCCCCCCCCCCCTCCAAGAACCAGAGGATCGATCTTCCGAATCCGAGACCCCGCCCCCCGTCGTTCCTACTCTCCTCCCGGTCCTTCAGCGAGAAGAAAGAGAGGAATCAACAAAGATTTTTGAGGAGGAAAGCAGGAGCTGTCCCCCGATCCGGGAAATAACCAGAGGCCAGAAATCCGACACCAAGGAATGAAAAATCAGAAGCGGAAGGGAATTGATGGAGGTGCCCCCTGCGGGGGAAGAATCAAGAGCGGGGAAGAGCACCGAATGGTTGAAAAGCCTCTCCGAAGGGGAGGTGGAGAGGCAGAACCAGACGGAACCCCTCGAAAGGGGGAGAGAGATTATGCGGGAGATGGTGGACCCATAGTCGTTGACCGTGAAGGGCGGAGAGAGAGAGAGAGAGAGAGAGAGAGAGAGAGATAGAGTCCTCCTATCACCGGACGCCTCAGGTGTACCTTTCACACCGGCGAAAAGACGGGCGACGAGAAGGAGTGGGATGAAGGACAGCGGGTTATACGTCATCTCCGACATCATCTGCCCTCAATTCCACTCAGAGGGAGGTGAGAAAGAGAGAGAGAGAGAGAGAATTGGGGGGGGTGGTAATTGTGATGGCCTCCGCTCCTGTGATGGCCTCAATTCCATATGACTTCGTCGAAGGGTTGCCAATCAGAGCCCAAACCAAGAACCTAGCAGGGACATGCATATATTTATAGCGAGAGAGAGAGAGAGAAGCCAATTCCGGTCCGGAGTCGTTTGCGATGCTTCCGAGAAGCTAGAAGGCTTATACATATATATATATATATATAGAGAGAGAGAGAGAGGGAGAGAGAGAGAGAGAGAGAGAGAGAGAGAGAGAGAGAGAGAGAGGAACCAAATCCAGTGCAGGGTCGCTGGCGATGCTGGTATTCATCCTGGTCGTCCTCCTTCATCGCCATTACCATCGACGATCCTCCTTCTCCAGGATCTCTGCTCTGTCTCCGCGTCCGTTACTCCCCCTTCCAGTCGCATCTCGATGGATGCCAACCATGACACCCTACCGCCGCCGTCGGCCGCGCCGCCACCCCGACACCGGCGGCGGGGAGGCCAGTTTATTCAACGAAGAAATTGATTTATCGGATTTCTTTTTATCGATATAAGGAAAATCGAAGGCCCGGTCAACGGGAGGTAACGGAGAGGTCAATCTTGGGGACCTATTTTCCTCATAAAAAAATGGCATAATTAATCACTTCTCCTGGAGACCCGCCGACCACGAAGCGCCCTCCATTTCTTGCCGGACAGCATTTTCCTCACCGTTGACTCCACCTCCTGTTCCAATTATTTCACATTAAATATTGTACTTAATGACGATTTAATCACAGGATCTCACCAGCTGACAATTGAATCATCTGAGAAATATTCCGCATCTTTGACGCGCATGGTTGACCGGGAATCCAGTGAGTAAAAAGAAAAAATACTTCACCACGCCGATTGGCTTGAAATAGTGTCTACATCGTGAATAAATATTCTGGCACCGTGTTACAAAGCAATGACGACTTTAGAAAGTCAACGCCTGCAGAACAAAGAAGCCGTTGCTTCAAAGAAAGTTACCAAAGTGAGAGATTACGAGGGAAAGGTCCTTCAAGTCAGAGCCGGAGAGGAGTTCAGGGGTCAACTTGAAATGATCTCCACAGAGCGTTCATTGACACCTCCAGCAAGCTTTACCCTTTGACTTTTTCACTTCCATGATCGGCATAGATTTTTCCATCTCAAATAAACATGCTATGCAGATGAAGAATTAATGCCTCCATGAGACCCATTTTCAGTAGGGCGGAGTACCACTGAGCAGAAACCCAAAGGGCACCTGGGAGAAGACAGTGGCTGTGTTATTGCTCATTGCTAATTTGACTTTGTTCTTCACTCATCTAGATGACATAGATGGATAGATAGAGAGAGAGAGAGAGAGAGAGAGAGAGAGAGAGAGAGAGAGATTTCAAGGCCCAGTTCTTAAGAAGTCAAAGGTCAACAAAGAGGCCCAGCTTCACCGGACTGGGCCTTCTGGGCCGCACCCTCTGGTCCCTGATCTATCCCGTACAGTTCTGTTCTACCCGAGAAATGGCAACTCAAACGCCCTTGTTGCCCTGGAACATAACATTTTCTTCGACTATAATGCTTTCTTTTCCGTGTTCTGTCCAGGTTCTAGTTTTCTACCGATTTTTCAGGGAGATTCAAGCCAAATCTGCTATTTTCTCCAATGAAATCAGGGTTGGATGAACTGGAGGAAGTTCCTGCAAGAGGATCCAAAAAACGACGGTCTCGAGTGTTCTATCTGATCAAAGCAATAAATAGCAGATTATCACGACAATATTCTACCGATTTTAATCTATTCTATGGTGCAGGAAAGAAATTAATAGAGAAGACATACAATCTGAAGCAGAAAAAAGTCAAATATCATATAATATTTCATAGTTCATGCAGTGACCTTCAATCATGGATCCCTTTCTCCCTCTCTCTCCCTCTCTGCACCAGAATGAAATGTAGGATTTCATCTGCGGGCAACTGTGCGCATTATCAGCTTCCAAAGAGATGATGTGAAATGCTGGCCTCTGAATAAAAGGGGAGAAAGCGTATATCATCATTAAAGCTGATCTCATGAACTTTCCCCACTGTTTATATGGAGGATAGAATACTCGGATTAATATGAGGCCGAGAATCTAACAGAAATAATTCCCCCCGCGCTGTCGAGAACTTACATTCTCTTCAGTGAAGCCTGCGGTTCGCATATAGTTGATGATTTTCGTATATGCAAGAGACGAAGGGAAGGAGTACGCACAAATTTCTAGGTCATGGAGAAGGAAATGAACCGACGATCTTGAGGCGTGTGAACTCCTCGGTGGTACGACTGAAACCCTAAACTTCGAATTGACCTGTAAAAATGATCTTCCTCGTCAGAAAGAGAGAAGAAAATCAGGGACAGAGCAGATCGCAGTATCTTCGATGGAAATCACCGGCGAGAACAAAAAGCTTATGATGTAGGACGACGAGAGAAAGATCATGCTCGACAGGCCGAGACGAGAAGAATCGCTTCCCTCGACGATAAGTATCCTCGTCGACAATCTCGGCGATAGCGAATCGACGAAAAAGCGACGGTGACCGGGGGTTGCCGATGTCAATCACGACGAACCCATCAAGAAAGTTGACGGGGATTTTGGTTTCACTGTGGGGCCCACGAGCCACGTCATTAAATATCGAATAGATTTTAGACATCAATGAGCCGGATTAGCAACTCACTAACTGAAGCCCGGCCCCCCTCCTGAAAAGCCGGGGTGGCAGGCCGGATTTTGGAGAAAGCATGGGACCGGGCCCGGGCCCGAGACCAGTCCTCTGGCCATCTCCGGGTCGGAAGAAAGATTATTGGAGATGTGCCCTTGGAGGCCTATGTTGGGCCCCATTGGGCCTTGATGGATTAGTCACGTCTGGGCCACTAGAACTGTTTTCTGGGTCCCCTGGCCAGCTTTAATCTCTGGCACAGCAGCACCCTGACAGGGGCAGCCACTCAAGGGGGAAAATCAATAGGCCCATAAAGCCCAAATTAATTCCTGCCGAGCCCTGCTGAATGTAAAATAAATACCCTGATGGAATTCAGGGGGGGAGGAATTAATGTGGGGACGTGACCTGCTAAAAAAATGGGCCCGAGATAATTTCCGCGGGCCGGGCCGGGGGAGATAAGCCCGGCCCGCTGAAACTTCCACATAGAGAGCAAAAGGGAAAACCCAGAGGCACTGGAGAAGCATTTCACGAGGAATTAAGCACGAACAGGGAAGAACTCCGCCGGGCGCCGCCTCTGGATCGTAGCTGTTGGCGGGGGAGCAGGCAAAAAACCACCACCTCAACATCACCTCCGTCCTCTCCGATCAAAACTTGCCGCCCCCACCAGACCCAACCCCAGAAAAAAAAGGGAAAAAAATTGTATAAAAAAGGAAAATTTGAAGAGGATGGAAGTACAAGGATGAGGGGGGGGATGTTCCATCCATGGCGGTCGCAGGAGAAAACCCGCCGCTGGTTCAGGAGCTAGTGGTCGGATGAGAACTCGCCGGCGCTCTCATCGGACAGCATCCCCTTGTACCGGCATTCCTGGCTGCAGAACGCCTTGTCACCCCTGAAGAATCAATCGAGCACGAATTCCCTGATTATGGCGGGCAGATTATCCCCAGAATCGATCTTTCATCCGTGAATGAGATCATGCGAAGAAAAAGCGGCCATCTATAATTCTTGTCAGATGATGGAGAAATTCGATCGCAGACGTTACCTGTACATGAAGGTGTCGTTCCCCTGGGCGAGGCCCTTCTTGCAGGAATGGCAGAAGCTCAGGAAGGTTGCCTTCCCCTGTGATGCAACGAGGAGGTCGTCGCAGGAGCTCTCCACAATGTAGTCGTCGAAGATATGCGTCATCCTGGGGTTGGGCCCGTGGGTGATCACGCAGGTGTAGTCTTCTGAGAGCTCCATGCCGGCCGTGGAGATGGAACCGGTGATGACGCGGGGGGAGGAAGAAGACTCCGAGGCCAGGGTGTTCCCGGAAGCCATGGGGGATTTCCAGCTCGGGGAGAAGGAACTCAGCAGGGATTCCTTGGTTTTGATCCCGAATTCTATTGGAGAAGAGGAGGATTCAGGGAAGGTGTGCAAGGATGGGATCTGAATCTTCAGCTGCGATCCGAGCAAGATCCGCCTGCTCTTCTCCTCACTGAGGGCGTCCACGATGGCCAGACCGATCCCAGAGGGAGGAGGGGCGGCGATGGAACCGGAGGTCGGTTTAATGGAGTTTCGATCTGAAAGCAGGGAGATCGCGGAAGATGAGAAGCTCTTGGCCTCGAGGATCGAGGTAGGACTCATGGCGGCTTCGGAGTCTGTGAAGCTCTTCCCAGAGAGGCCTCCGATGTAGAGACGAGGGGAGAGGAAGAGGGAGGACGATGATGCAGTCGGTCTGCTGCATCTGGCGGTGGGAGACGGGAGGTGGTGGTCGGCCATCAGGACCTTCTTCCCGCCGACTGCTCCCGATCTCTTCCTCAGCATAGATGAACCTGGTGGAAATCCAAGCATGGATGTCAATCTTGGAGCCATCCATTGTACGAGAATGAGATCGGTACGGCGAGAAAACCAGAGGCCCGATCTCACCTCGAAGGGATCAGAAGAGCGCGACGATGCCTTCGTTTCCGCTAGAACCTCAGCGCAACAGAGCTCTGAGAGTAGATGGATTGGTAGTTTTCTAATCCATCTGAAGAGGAACGCAGTTCTGAATCAAGAACAGGTGGTCCTCACATTCCAGAGTCCTTCAGGTGGAGACGATCGATCCCGTACTTGCACAGAAGTACACTCCCACAAGGGGAAAATCCGGATCGAAAGGATGAAAAATCACCACAGATCAAATCCAGAGTCCGAAAGAAGAGCTTTCTTTCCCGATCAAGCAAAGTGGAAGAGAACGGGAGCGGACGCTACCACACCTCCCAGAAACATTTGAGCAGAAAAACAGAACACATCACGCAGAAGAGGCGGGAGAAACCAGAGGGGATTCCAGGGGCTCGGATCAACGCACCAGCGCCAAACCACCACCCGGAAACCCTAGGCATCCAGCCAACCAAGAGGATCAGCGCTCTGCTCCCCTCTCCTCTGGACTCTTTCCCGGTGGCTCCTTAAGATCGGTGTACAATCTGTGTTATATTGACAGTCCGCTTCAATAAATGGTACCTCCGAGATCACCGCAGACTCCCAGGTCTCCCATTAGTTTATCAAGAGCAAGAGCGAGAGTCTGCTTGAGCAGAGCAGAGAGAGAGAGAGAGAGGAAAAAGAAGGAAACGACGAATCAGAGAAGATGACGACTTGGGGGGGGGGGGAGGGGCGGAGGAGGTGGCGAAGGCCTCCGCTGATTCGAAGAAACGCTTGGGAATCCAACCCCCACCCCTCCCCAGTAATATAACCAGCAGCCCCGAGGTTAGAGAGAGAGAGTATAGAGAGAGGGACACAGCGTAGAGAGAGAGAGAGAGTGACGTAGAGGTAGAGAGAGAAATAGAGGTACAGGAGAATTGGTACTGTCGTTAAGCGCCCGGGGGGGGAGGCGTCTCACTCTCTCTCTCTCTCTCTCTCCCCATCACTCTTCTCCCTGCGGGGGGAAGACACCTTCGTCTTCACGGTTGGACGGCTAATCAGAGCGGGCGGTTCTCCTGTGCAGATAAGACAAGCGGGGTCCCCATCGGGCCCCGGGCGATCCAACGGCTCAGATCACCCCTCTCGGCCCACACGGCGCCCTCCCTAGCGTCCGCTGTACGTATCCTCTTGTCCCACCTATAAATAGTAAATTAAATATTGCAATTTTCTTAATTTCGAATATAAATGTACCCAACCCCCTTCTCTCTCGTGCGGATGCGCGTGCATAGGAATCTGAGGCTTCCACGTGGCGTTCCAGATGCTCCCCACGAGAGCTGAGAAGCGCGGTGGCGTGAGAATAGCAGGGGAGAGACCGGCGATAGTTCTCGCCGCGGGGAGTGCGTAGGGAAGGAAGAAAGAGGGATGCCGTTTACTTCCACGCCATTTCCTTATTGCCGTTCTCCAATAATTGTTCTACGGATTGAGGGAGGGGGGCCGACAAGGCCCATTATTCCTCCCATCAAGAGACCGTTGGCCCGACGGCCCCTGGTCTTCTGGGATGTACAATGGGTCCCACTGTTTTTAAATCTGATAATTATTTAATACTAAAACTTGGATAAGAAATTTTTGGATTCACCCTATGCGCTACCCTCGCTAGGGCTCTTGGGGGGGGTTGAGGAAAAGAAGGCCATTTGTGTAGTAAGCCTTTGGTTAAACCATAGTTAAGCTAACTCAATATCCACATCCTAATGTAGTGCCAAGAAATGAGTCCACGACTTATTAACCCAATTATAATAATGGATTTGCCATTTTTAGCAAAGAGTTGGGATCTAAGTTGACTCATGGGAAGGGGTTTGTGTCTTGATTTAATATGTTTTATAATGCATATACTTTTCAATCTGATGTATGTGTATATATATATCTCAAGAAATAGTGCTCAACTTGGGTGGTTTTAGTGCCCCTCTCTCTACTAGGGGATTGGAGGAGTTGCAACTAATAGAAGGGACTAACCCATGGTTGAGTTAGTGATCTAAGCCAACAACCCAGCCAACAAGTCATGGATTTATTAAATAGGAGATGATTGATTGATTGTTAGGATGACAACATATTGACTATAAAATGAGGGTGGAAGAGCTTTGTGGTCAAAGTTTAGGGAACATGGTGACATCATCATCATGGGCCCAGCAAACAATTCTAAGTAAAATGCAAGTGGAGCAACTAGTGGATCTCTTTCAGTAAGGCTATTATGTCACTCTCACCTAGAGGAAGCACATTACTAAAAGGCTGGTTGCACTTGTATGGAATGCTGAATAAGGTTTTATGCATAGATTCAAGATGTTCTACCTCCAAAGTAGGACGGTAATCTTGGCTTATAATTGCTATTACATGAGAGTGGGTTTGTTATCCCACTGTAGATCATGGGCTTGATGACAACATTGATTTGACTGAAACCTAATTGATCTCAAGTTAAAAAAAAAAGAGGGAATGAGGGAGATAGATTTTTTTTACCTTGCATCATTTCTTCGTGAGTTCCTCATATGCAATTAGGTCTTTATGTTTAATGGACCTCAGATTCTTAGGGTAAGAATATGAAAAGGGTTTTTGTTAGTCAAGCACAATTGATGGTCCCCTACATGGCCCACAAAGTATTTGATTGATGGATACTACAAGACCATATCAAACAATGATATAAGGTATATGGGTAAGAAGTAGAAAGAGGGAGAAGGGGGTGGATTGGCCCACCCTCTTGCTAAAAACCATGAAAAAAAGACAAAGACAAAGGACCCCACTTCCACATGCCCTCCTTTACCCTTGCTTTATCATGTAAGCTTTAGAAAGTCCATTAAATCTATACAGAAAAGTCCAGAAAATGGGCCCCAAGATGTAGCCCCCACAATAATAAAACTTTGCCTATGGAGAATTTATTGAGAAGGATTTATGGATACTACTTTTGCCTTTAATGATTAACTTTCTCATTGTTTTGATGAACTTTATGGGAATCTTACCTATTAGCTTTATAATGGAACCTTTGCATTTAACTTGGTTCAATGATTTCATGGTTCCCTTGGAGTTATCTCCCTTTTATCCCATCCAATCAATTCCCTTAGAATGCTTGTGATGCCTTGCTTTCAAGAACATGGAATATGTTGAACAAAAAGGGTGAGCTCATGTGTGAAAGACACTCTACCTAATTCAAGTTATGTTATTTCCATTCAAAAATAATTTATAAAATGAGAAAAAATATCATAATATCTTTATCACTGGTTTTGTGGGAATAAAACCAGGGGGAGGGGCATTGAATTTAGGTACCATCCATTTTCTTCCATGATTTTTTTAATTTAGCAAAAGAAAATGAAGATGACACATCAGCATCTAGATGGGTCTTCATCATCTAGCATTTACTCACAACTTTAATAGTTGATAAAATTTCCATCCACACATCATATAAATGCATTGATCTCGATGCAAAGAAATGACTCAAGAAGTCTCCCTCCCTTTTGGGTCATTGATTTTGATTAGGAGATGATGCCATGGTGTCATAGCAACATTCATGGTTAGCAACATACCATCTATGATGAATAAAGGTGGATTTGAATCTTTTCTAGAGTCAATGGGTCAAAATAAAGTGTTATATGGATGAAAGTGCGTTGCTTATACCATTTAATAAGGGAACTCAAACCTCTTTGGGTCATCTTATCACTCCTTCACTACTGATAATTTCTCAGCAATCATATATATATATATACACTACCATACAACTACATAATTTCTCATTGCTGATAATTGAAACATTCTGATTTTTTATGACACCTTGATGGTTCAATTGATATTTAAATCCAAATGGCCAAATTAGGGAAAACCATGTGCCAAATGAGCAATGGTTTAGTACCTAATTGATGATTTTTTTTAATTTTTTTCTTGCTTCCATTATTTTTGTGATTTGATGGGTGCAATATGTTTATAGATTTGCTTCCATCATTTGATGTTAGTATCATTTATGGCAGTGATGTTTATACATTTGCCACCTGAGTGTGGTGTATTTCCTGTTCACATCACATATTTAAAAAATATGCTTGAATTGACTAATGTTTTCTCAAGTTTTCATGTTACTTAAGTTTTATGTAATTGTGGTTGATTTTTTAGTTTAATGTTCTTGTATAGTATTTTCCTTTATTTATTGATTTTTTTGACTTTGAAGTATCAACATACTTAAATTCCCCTCCTCCTCCTCCCCTATAATTCTTTCAAAATTAGAGAAACAATCCATTTGACTCCCTCACCTTGTGTGGTCTATTATTTGTGATATCTCCAATTTTGTATGAGCCAATAAAAAACTAAGGACAATTGTAAACATCTAATAATGAAGGATTCTTTTTCATATTTGTTTTATTTTCACTGATTTTGTGTCAAAAATATGTGGACATGGTTCAATGATGGCTCCACAAGTGGAGGTCTAATTGAATGGTCCTGACTGAGTGGTCCACTTTTGACCATCTATTTGAGAGATATTTGAAAGGATGGTTGTTGTTATGGATTTTTCTCAAACCCCTCAAAATAAAAAATTTCTAATTTTTCTACATGTGAATTAGAGAATAAATCTTTATGAACCTCACTATAAGCTTATTAATTTATGCTCAAACATTAGATTTTTCATTAATGACGGGGACATCTTTTCAATAATCATATTTTCATATATTTTGTTTTTCTCTTGTCATACAAGTTATTGCAACTTCCTAGAAATCTGTATGTATATTATTTTCATTCTAAATACTTCAACACTATCTAGATATCATAAATATTAAAAATACTATTTTTGTATAGGCTTTAAATTAATGGTTTTTTATTTGGATGAGAGTTCTATTAAACAAAATATGATAAAACACCCATTACATCCCATCTTCCATCGAATAGCCCCATTTGGGGTTGAAAAACAATGTCAATGACCTCTTATTTCTCTCTATGTTTGTGTCAACAAGTTGGGTATAGATAGAACTTGGGAAAATATTTAGGTCAGATGTCTTTCACATGGCTCAACTTGATGGGAAAGAGAGAGATAGAAAGAGATATAGATAGATAGAGTGAGATAGAGAGAGAGAGAGAGGGAGAGAGGAGAGGTGGATGGTCATGACACAACTTGTTTGATAAATTAAATTCTAGAGAAATGAGGTCATGCTAATAACAACGCATTACGATGATGATAAAATACTATTTTGATAGGCTACAATGATAATTTTTTCTATAGGGGCATAAAATAAGCTTTTGACAAGGAAAAATTGCCATTTAGTGTTTGATAGAAATTTTGAGTGAAATGGGATCCACAATTAAGCATGTCATACACATGCTAGTCAATGTACATAATATTTTCAGTACGTTTTTACAAGGAACCCACTAAGCTCTCATCCCCTTCAATATTTTTTCAGAAAATTCATTATTCCTTTCAATTATCTAGACATTTGGCCATCTTACAAACTATCTAGTAAAAGCGTCTAAGTAACATTTCCACTTGGCAATATTTCAATGCCAGGGGTCAAGACTTGCTTTGGGTTCCCACCATTACTGCTAATAACTTGGCTTAGATTCTGTTCACATTGATATAAAAGTGGAGAAGACTAGGAAAGATCTCACTGTTGATTGAGGGTAAATGTGGGGAAGAAGGAGGGGAAGCAGTTGGTCAGGCAACCATCTCACTCCACACCATTCTTCATTACTTTTCCTCTCTCCACACTTGTTGGGCAAGTTGGCAAATGCTCATGAATACCATCTCTCTCATGAAATCTAGGCCAGCTTGTGATGAAGACTCTCTCCAATCCATAGGGGCCACTTGTGAATGGTTCTTGAGCTTACCCCGGTTAGTAGTTTGACAACCAAAATATTGTCAAGATCTTTACCCATGATGGACTTAGATGGGATAGGTTCAAATGCTGCTTAGCTAAGTGGATAAGATGCTCAAGTAACCCTCAAGCATTGAAAAATAGAAGCCCACTAAATTAAAAAAATGTATCTTTTAAAAAATGAAGATCAAGGCATTGACATTCACCAGTTGAACTTTTAACATGCTTGGAAAGTGAGAGTGAAGAAATTTAGTGATGTTCTATTGACATTTAATCCTTTGGTCTTTCAATAAATGGGGTTCTAAATGTTTTAAATGATAACGATAATAATGGAATGGCATAATAGCTCATTCTGTCTTTTATGTATCAAGGAGCTATCACTCCTTTACTAAATTTATTTCCTTGTGAAAAAATAAAGACATCAACTAAAGTAGGTTGTTTCATGCGTCATTATTTTTAATGGGCATAAGGCGTAAGTGGGCCTAATGGTTGATGCCAAGCCCAAAGTGTGTATTGCGAACTACCCAAAGTGCGTGCCAGCCCATTAATCGAGCCGACGGCAGGAAATCTAAGCCCAATATTATATGATCCAAGGTCAATGGGGATGGTCAATCTGTGTGGATGGTCCACTTCTCGCGAGCCATTTGGCAGCTTGAGATGCAGCCACGTAAACCCACATTAGCCCTGGCAAGAAATCGTGCGTTCCTCGTTCAGCAGTAAGGATAATATGATAGATGACTTGGAAACCATTGCAATAATGTTACCCATCTAATGTACCAAGTTCTTCATATCTTGATGATTACTAAAGATTATTGCGGGTAACATCAAATCGGAACTGACCCATCAAATCCTAAACAAGAAGAGAGAAATTCTCATTGTTCAAACAACATTTACAGAACTTGTGGAATTATTATTCTTTTATTTATTTATTTATGTATTTATTTATTTTCCTGAAGATGGGTGGAGCCGTGAATGATGAAGTAGATGAGCCAGGCAGAACCCTCGGAGGAATCCCCGTCAGGAATGATTAAACTGTCGATTCCATGGCGACCAATGAAGAAAAATGTGCAGAATCTGAGCGCGAGCATACTTCCGGACCGGTAGAATAATTTCAGGTCGCCGTCTACGGCAGGGGACGGCGGAAGTACGCCGGAGAGGAAGCTTCCTCATCCCCGGGGCGCCGGCCGGGGCCGGTTACTCGGCTTGGTGGGCTCCCCCACTTCCTTCCGCAGCTTTGTTGTTCGGAAGAACAAAAAGCTCTGAAATTTTAGTGGGCGCTGCGATGATGATCGTCGGCACTGATTTCGCAGATGAATTCCGATCGGCGAACTCCGCAGTTTGCGATCGAGACTGGAATGGGAAGGAGCTTCTGCCGGCGAAGATCGCAGGGATTCCAGAGAGAATCGAGAAGAAATGAGAACAGATTGAACCGCAGAAAGGGGTTTCACTGGATAGATCGCCGGGGTTATTGAGAACTTGACTGAGGAGGAGGAGGGAGGGGAGTTTCTTCCGGCGGGAAAAACCAGAGAGGCGCCATTGGAGAAGATGCGGTGGAGCTTCACTGTACAACGATTAGGCGGCCGATGCCTTCGCCGGCGAGGTTCCCGCCGTCGTCGTCGTCTTCGTGGTCCTCGAGGAGCCCACCGCTGCCCTTGGGGACGGTGACGGTGAGCTCGCCGCCGGCATAGGCGGCGCTCGCCAGCTCCGGCCTTGTGCACGGCGGCAGGCGGAATCTCCATCGATCCATCTCTAGGTCGTCCAGCAGTAGCTCGAGCTCCCCTCCGCCGTCGCCGAAGTCCTCGCCGGTGTTCTCTCTGATCACCACCTTCGTCACCCCGGGGTGGATCTCGACTGCGTGAGCTCGAACGCTGCTGCCAATCGAGCCCTCCGCAGTCGCCACGATGAAGTGGAAGCTCTCGACGTCCTCCGTGATGGCCACCTCTGCGTCGGCGGCGAAGGGGAGCTCCAGGACTTTGCTAAAGATGTGGGGCAGCCGCCGGAGCTTCTTCTGGCGGCCCACCATCGCTGCCGCCGCCAAGCTCTGCCCCACGCCGTACCGGAAGGCGATGTTCCTCTTCTTCGGCGGCATCGGGTGGACCTTCATCTCTCTCTACTTTCTCTCTCTATCCCCGCTCTGATCCCGATCAGTTCTTCCTTCTCAATCTGCAATATACAATCTACGGGGACAAACCTGCTGGGGAGAAGACGGAGGAAGGGATCAAGCAGGCGGGCGGATCAGAAGAAACAGATCCAAACCCTAAACGAAGATCGAATCAGAGTCGCAGGAAACTCAAATCCCCCTTCCTGCAAATGACCCAACTCCGATCAGACACAGAAAAGAGGAATCGAAACAAAAGAAGAAGAGGAAGAAGAAGAAGGGAGGTTGATGAGGAGGGATCGCTTACTCAAAACCACCGCACAGAAATTCGATCGAGCGTCAGCGGCAGACCAGGGGAGGATGGAGACACCCTCTGCTTTCTCCACTCCCCCTTCAAGAAGATGAGGACAGAGATACCGGCGGCGCCTACAGGTTCTACAGCTAAAGGTAGGCGATGGTGGAGGAGGAATCGAGAGCCGGGTTCGTTCCACTCTCTCTCTCCTTCCTTCCCTCCCTCTGGAACACCTTCCTCTCTCTCTCTCTCTCTCTCTCGCTGTCCCCCTCCCTGGATTTGGTCCCAAGATGGGCTCCCTGGCGCACGCATCAGCCTCCAATGTACTGTAATGAGAAGAAGGATTATAATATTACCCTTATAAATATATTTTATTACATTTAACACCACAGTAGTCTATCCGTTGGGGCGACGCGTCTCCGACGTGGACTCGCCCACCAGGAGGGCCACACGAGGGGTATTTTCATCAAGGAAAGATTCCAGAGGATATTACCGTTATTTTCCGAAAGGTACCGCCAGGGATCCACGTGGACACCAAGGCTCGAGGCCAGTCCGCTCGCTTTCTTCTTCGAGATACTTTCTTTTTGGTCTGTGAGGCCCAGTAGGACTCGACGGGCCCAGAAGGGTTGAGATTTCAAGGCCCATTTTGGGCCTAGGCCGAGTGTGCCAATTCCTAGATGGGCCCGAAACCTTGGCTCCTGGACTCCCAGCTGCCTCTCTCTCTCTCTCTCTCTCTCTCTCACTTCCCCTTTCTTTGCGTAGAGTTTCTTCCCTGTTGGCCCTCTTGCTCCTCCGTGTTAGGTTGTTAAGAACTGTCTTGGATCCTTCCTATGCTGGGGAAGGAGCCAACACGAATGGCGACCAATGTCTAGTCACGTCAGGTGAGAGGAAGTGTGTGTGTGTGTGTGTGTGTGTGTGTGTGTGTGTGTGTGTGTGTGTGTGTGTGTGTGAGAGAGAGAGAGAGAGAGAGAGAGAGAGAGAGAGAGAGAGAGAGAGAGCCCTCCCTCACTATGATTACTATCGACGATCCTCCCTATACCCATGAAGTGTTTCCATCCATTATCTTTGATCCCAAAAGATTCAGTGCCTCTGGCTCCCAATTACTAGCGTCCAATTTATAAATTTTTTGATGAGTATAAGTTACCATATCAAAAGATCTTAATGGCATCTTAACATTTCTTCGTGGTTGTATATAATAATTTTTGTGATGTTTAGAGCATATTAAAGCATCTTAGTTTTTAATGGTCCTATCTCGACAACTCTACACTCAGTATTATTACCCATGACATTTTTACCCCCATGAGATGTGAAAGTGTCAAACTAATTTCTAAATGGACACATGATAAGGAAAGTCAATATCAAGTATCAATACATTTTAATAATCTATACCTTCATTCTGTAAATTCTTAGAACATTATCCACTTCAACAAAAGCAATACTACAATTAGAAGATTGTTAGAACATCTCTTTCATTCTCTAAATCAAAAGTAAAACTAGTTCACATAGTTAGTTGGTTGCCATTCTACTTAAGCTTCTTTTTAAGTTTTGAACAATTTGCATTATATTGATCTTTCTTGGAGTACTGACATTTGTTAGTATTCTTTGACTTAATTTTGAATTGATTTATGATCACCCTTATTTTTTTCAACATCATGTTTCTTAGACCAAATCTTTTACTATCAAACTTTTAACACTTATGAAAGGTTTATGTCTAATATATTTTGATAATAATTTATATTTGACTTTCTCAATCTTCAAAATGCATTTATTGTATAAAATAGTAGTCACTAAGTGGTCATAGAACTGAGATGAAGATGAGGAAAGAAAAATAGCATGACCTTCATCCTCCACTCTAACCTCCAAACTATGGAGTTGTGAGGTCAACTTATTAATATGTTCATATGCTTTAACAAATTTTCTCCATCACACATGCAAATTATATTTAAAAAATCATATATCACTTATTTGTAAGAGTTTTTGACATGGATAATATTTATATTTTTTTCAATAATTCAATAGCATTATCTATTTTGAAAATTTTATAAATTATCTCATCAACTATACTACTACCCCAAAGCCAAGTCATTATTTTTAGATATAATTTATTCTAATATTTATTGCTTACATTTTTTACTTTTTTCTTTCCGTAAAAAACTTGTGAAGTCAATTATACAAGGATTGCCTTCAATCTCTTTTATCAAAACCAAAGTCAATATTTCCATCAAATTTTGTATTAACATCTTTACAATACCAAACTTAAAAAAGGTAACACTAACTTAGCTAAAATACCAAATCTTGTGAACTTCATCTTCAATTAGCCCTAGATTGCCATAATATACTTAGGAAATATTCTTTCAATTAGTGCAACCAATTACATGCTAATGTGAGTTATAAAATCTAGTAACCAAGTACATGCCATAAGTCAGATGTAAGCTATTAATATGAATCACTTCACCTACTACATAACTCTTCAACTCTAACCTTACAACTAAATGATTTCCTTAGACTCCTACTTCAATCACAACTTTGGCCTTAGCTTTCACTTGCAGCCTTAGTACTTGAGGGAAGAGCCTTACGGGGGAGTCTTTGATAGATAAATAATTTCTATATAGAAAACTAAGGACTAGTTAGAATGAGCATGGTGGAGGGAACTGAGGAGAGAGTCACTAAAGAAAGAGACATCTTCCCTTAGATGAGGCAGCAAGAGAGAGAGTAAGAGAGAGACTGAGAAAAATCAAAGCTCTAAAAATGGGTAAGAAATGGCCTCCTCTCCGGCCAACAACAAAAGTTTGCGTCTGAATTACCTAGAAAAGATCTAATTGGATCCCAAATTTATGAGACTAGTTTAGGGTCTCTCATGAAAACCTACAACAAAGATATCCCACTCGTAGCTTCCCTATCCATGATCATGGTGAATTAAGGGAAGCATATAGTTATGAACCTTGAAGGGTAATTTTTTCAAAATTCTACCAATGTTTTATTAATCCTTGCTAATTATTTGTCATGTGTGGGTCATCCATGATCTACTAAAATCTGAACAAATTGAGTCATTTTCTCATTAAAAACATTTTATTTAGAAAATAACACAGTCTCCTAGGATAAAGTGGTATCTTAAAAGTCAATAATTTGAGCTCAACATGATACATAATTCTAATTTCTTTTTTTTATGAAAATAATACAAAAATTTATAATTACTCTTGATCGCAATCAACTATTGGAGGTGTTTCTATTGCTTTGAACTTTTGTTATGGCTCACTTTATACAAATTTCTTTGAGACCAACCTAAGTGAAAACTTGGTGAGAGATGCCCAAAACTAGGGAGCTTGTTAACACGTAGGCTTGATTGCCCTCAATAACTAATGAAGAATGTGAGGGACACAAGCAAGTGGATAAAATAATACACCTTGGAGCAGGGTGCAAATATGATTTTGGTGACAACAATTGGCTCTCAGCCTAGTTGAAAGTGCATATGCAACAAACACAAATCCTTCTTAACTTCATCACCAAAACACCCAAAATACTAAGGATGACAAGAAGACTAGTGGTAGAAAAACATCTGCTTCTTATTCTACATTATGTATAAATGTGTGAAAAAAAAATTAGGATGCTGAACTTGGGTAAGAAATTTCACATAATTAATCTCAATGGATTACAAGGAAAAACAATGGAGAAAAAGAGACAAGAAAACAAAGACAAAATAATGAACAAGAGGGAGAGCATGTATTTGTAATGTTCTTTTTTCCTTACAATCAGAAATGTTATTAGAGATTCTCCTAAGAAATGTATATACCAATAAAAGTTTCAAAGAAATAATACCACATGGATAATAAGAGAGCACATAATAGAAATAGTTACATTTTCCACTAAACAAAAGACACTACAACTAGGTTTTGGGCCTTCTATGCTTTCAAAATTATGTTATACATCAATAGTTGCTTAGATTGAAATGACTATCAATTTTTGGTTGCACTTTATATAATTTATTCAATTTCAAGTTGATGTAACCATCACTAATCTCAAAAGATAAAGATTTACTCAAGGCCTTCAGATAAAAAGAACTATTGATGGTTCTTGGCATTACTTGATATCAGTTTTTTTAAGAATTATGTCACATGAGGGCTCTAGTTTTCCTCTTCTACATGTAATATAATGCATAGTGTAGATCCTCACATTTATAAGAGTTCAATAAATAAATTAAAATCATAATTTCTATTATTTTATGATATTTATTGATAAGCCAAAAAGCAACTTGATGTATGATCAAATTTATATGTGAAGTCGTGTTGGTTTTCTAGCTTGTATATATCCTTTGGTTTTTTTTTTTAGGGGGGAGGAGGGGGAGGGTGGTGGAGACTTTTGGACCCCATGAAATTTATGTTTTGAATTGTTATAGTGTTTCTTGCAATCCTTTTTTGCCTTTTGGAGATTTTCTATTTCTGATGTTGACAAAATATAATTTATAAAAACATTAAAGATGTCATATGAGATTACAAAACTAATTAGGAGACCCATCATCTCTCTCTATTATCTAAAAAGTGATTCAACTCACTTAGTATGATGAATTTTGTACTTATAGTGAGAAAGACACATTATAAGGGACATACTAGTTACCCTAATGAAATCTTAGTTTAGCTGATGACTCACTATCATTGAAAAAATTGATTACTTACAAAAGATATTATTACATGAGAATAATAATTAGACATAAAAATATGGGCATATTCTAATAATTAAGGAAAAAATTACACCATCATTTTTAATGATTGTTGTACTCAAAAAAGTTTGTGAACTACAACTTTATAGCTACTTGTCATAATAACTAAAAAAAGTCTTATGCAAAAGCATTCTCAAGAGACACTTAAATTTCATTCCTTGAATAATTAAAGCCTCCGAAGAAGTTTTAAATTAAGGTTATTGACATTGGGTAGTTATTTTGCTTATCCTATTCAACACAAGTAGCATTGTTGCAAGTCGACATAAAATGGTTAGATCTTCTTCAGATCAAAGCAAGACTGGTACATTGTTCAATGTGTGATCAAAGAACTTTTCACCCTACATTGAACTGACCTGAAATAGTTTACTCTTGTTGATATTGAGACCAAATTCAATCAACTTAATTTATTTAACTCACACCATAAATAACTTTACTTGTTAATACACACTCGAGGTGAGGGGCACATTGACACTCGCATTAGTGGGAAATGTATGGAGTCTATACTAGTTTTAAGTTTTCATGGGGTAGGATTTCAAAAATTCAAAACCCATTGTGCTCCATTGTGTAGACACACCCCCACCTCACTATCTGAAATAGATTGTAGTTGCTCGGGCCTCTTTTAGGCCCATCATACTCTCTCTCTCTCTCTCTCTCTCTCTCTCTCTCTCTCTCTCACACACACACACACACACACACACACACACACATACACACATTGACCAGGGATTCTCAACATAGACATTCAATTCCAATGTCTAATGTCGATAAATAATTCCAAAGCTTTCTTCACAGTTTCTTTTAATTCATCTTTCTATTACTTCCAAGTAAATCAAATAAAACATTTTTTGAATTGATCCCAAAGAAGGCCGAAAATTAGCTACTTTCATAGCCTGAGGTGGATGACTCAGTTGCATTGGGTAGTTTCATAACCAAACCTTGAGCTATAAACCCACCATCAAAGGATAGATGAGTAACTCTCTGAGATTCCTAATTTCCAACACAAGAAACCCATGTGACATCGCCAAAGTGTTCAGTCATCCTCCAACAACCTTGGAGATTTTTTTATGTTATACATCTTTATCTATTTTTGCCGCAGCTAGTGCAAAACCTGCTTTTGATCGAGGTTACTGTCCAGAAAGTGCAGCCATGGTCCACTAGATTCTTCAATTAGCCAGCCCACTCTTACCTCGAGGTTAATGCAAAAGACAATTATCCGCCTTACTTGAAGCAAGCTGCAGCCAGAGAATTCAGTGGGTAGTTTCCTTCTCAGATTTGTATACAACTAGAAAACCTTCAGCCTCACGAAACCAGTTGACGGATGAGGCAACTATGATGTGCTAGACGCCGCATCAAATTCGTCAGCTTGGGTTTGACCAACTCTGCTCAGATACTCCGTGGTGCTACTTCCAGACGAAGAGACCGCAGATGATGATGACGAAGGGTTAGACCCAGTGTTCATCTGGGCCTGATCTCTGAGCCTGCGGGAGCTCTCTGTGGGAGGCTGCCGGCCAGGCTGATGCTGGTTCTGGCCATCATCAGCAAGTCGTCTGAGGATGTTCATCACAGTGGGAAGAAATCTTGATGACAATGCAAGAAGCCCTGAAAGCTGAAATTAAACTAAGTCTTACTAAACTGAAGAGGGCCAATGAAAAGGTAGAAAGAGTCTGGGTCTCCTCTTACTGCGCCATGGCGGAACTCCCCCGGGACATCGAGCTGCACCCACAGCGCTTTGGACACCAGGAAGGTTACGAAGAGCATGACAATGTAGAGAGGGTTTCTGATGGCAGGAGAGCAAACGATAAGATCACCTCCGGAGCCAAGAAAGCTCGCTAGAAATAATGAAAGATGGTGGGGAAGATCATTACCTCAGAAGCAACATGAACTCGTTGAAACCGAGAAGTATCATCACAACGATCGCCCACAGGGGAGGCAACCAGTTATTGCTGCGCTTGTGGGCCTCCTACAACGATTGTCCGTGGTTCAGAACAAAAGAGCACGCCAAAGATCTGCGTTTTTTATTATTTATACAACCCACCCCGAGATAAGAACAGGGACAAAAAAGTGAAAGAAATTAGCTTGGGGTTTCTCATATAGATTGAGAAGGACCCATGAATGCCAACCGCATACCTCATTAACCAAAAATAGCAGATGCCTGGTTTCAGATTTCAACTAGAATGCAATCTGGTTGTCCTAGGACTCCGAAAAGCCTGTTCTCTGCTTTGCTTACCTTGGGGGCGAAAGCTTCCTAGTTTCACCTATTTCCTCTGGGGATGGGGGGGATCATGAGACAAGAAGTACAGGAAAGATGCCATACCAGCGCAGAAATTGCTTGACTGACGGTGTATGCAGTCTCGACCTTAAATTGCCTCCAGATAGATTTACATTGCACGGGTGAAATCAACACATTTCTCGGGGAAACCTAATCCATGCAGTCTGTCATCGCTATTTTCATCATCATCATCATCATCATCATCTATGATTTCAGAATTTTCGGGTACACTGAGAGGTCTCACCTCCACCCAGGTGCTTGACATGAGAGGATCCACAGAAGGTCCAGCGCCATGCTCCTGAGCCAGAGGACCATCGAGAAGGTTTGAATAAAGGATACTCCCAACTTTGTCTGGTTTCTCATCTAAGCGGATCACAGCCATCACTGAAAGAAGCTTCAGGGCCTAAACAGCACAGTCACAGCATAGAAGAAATATATAATCAACGTCAAGGGTATCAGAATTTAGATGATCCCATATCAGAATCAGCCAAGCTCTACAGACCGCAGAGCGGGCATCGCGAGTAATCTGCCGAATGTCCTCCTTCCCCGTCCAAATCCGTGGCATTGAGTCATTGTCGTGGCTGAACACCGTTGAGAACCTGAAAAATATTGAAAGCTGGCAACACTCAATTCAAGTACAGTTGAGAAGTGAGAGATCAAAGAATGAGCAGCTACCTGTCCTTCATGCGGATCAAGACCTTCCCTGCCTCTTCTCTGGCCTTTTTCTCCACAATGCCTGCAGCGAATTACTTCAGATCCTTTACCATGTTTTCCATCACTTCTTGCTCTAACTCAAATCCTGATAGGGCATCCGAAAACCTTGACATGGCGGCCCCAGCCTCACAATTAAATAGTGTTCTTATCGAAGCCCAGGCGTCATTCTCAGCTGCCTCAAACAATGATTCCACTGGTTCGCCAAGTGCATCAGTGAGACGGTTCTGTTTGGCAACAAAACACCAAGCAATTAACATGCTCCCAGAAACAACTTGTGCACGGGCTGGAAGACTTTATAATATTAAAAAAACTCGATTCGATGATATACAGAGAAAAAATCCATCAGATTCCTCTGCTCACTGCACCAAGACAGTCCTCGATTTCTTCTCATTTGGCTTTTATGGCTGACATCAGCATGACAGCCGCCAAAGTAGACAATTTCAACTATTTCTTAAGCTTTTCTAAGGTATATAATCTTAACCGGAATTACGAGCAAAGATGCACAGAATTCAAGACTGAATGGTTAACTAACGGGATTTAAGGGTAAACCTGGTAATCGGCAGTAATTTCAGATAGTTTTTCACTACGAACTGAAGCTGCATGGGCTTCCATATCACGGAGAAGCTTTTCTCGGACCTTGGACGAACGCCAATCAGCCTGTTTTATGGACACATCTGAAAATGAAAGGAATTTTCAAGTCACATTGCAGTCAGATGACACAATGAGTCGAACCTTTCTCTTAACACCATGTGGTGTATCCACAATACTACGGAATTGAGGGAGTTTTCTCTGAAGTTGGATAACTGAGACCCAGCCAGGTTTGTAGACAAATCATTTCTACTGAAGCCCACATCTGAACTGATAGATATTTTGCAAGGCCTAGGCTCGACCATAGAGAAAAGCCTAGAGAGCAAGGCCAAGCCTAGGTCCTGAAAATTCTCTTGAAAGCAAATACCCAGCCCAGCCGACCAAATAGCATGGGAAGGCTGCAATTTAGGCTGCCTATGGAAGGGTGGAGGCACCAAGCAGGCTTGTACGTGGTTGGGTGGCCGGAGGAGGACGAGGATGCAACCAATACCGAATAAATGTTGAAGAGAAAAGGATAAAGTTCAACTAGAGACAAAAAGGATGAACGCCAAGCTGAAAGCATACAGTATTATAACATAACGGCGATTGCGCGTTTAACATTCCAAACATTCTAAACATTATAAACTGAAACTGAAAGAATTATGGATTAGACGTCACTGGAAGTTGTTTAAAAATACTGGAAGATTATCAATCCATGATAAAAGAGAGACTGAAAGATCAATGAAATGTGTTACCCCTGTATCCTTGATCAAATTGATGGAGACAAAATTGAGTAGTGCTGAGGACGGACACTGCAAAGCCTTGCCCTCTTTTAAGTGAATACTTTAACTCATTCTTAAAACGATCAAGTGCCTGAGAGCGCAGATGTCCCAACATGGTCTGGTATGCAGGGTGCACCAACTGTAGAACAATAGACAAAGTCAAAAACGAAAACCCTTTAAGATTTCCTTAAATTCTTCAAATCCATAGATACTTTTATGCATATCTGGTACACGGATCTGAATCATTTACTGGAATTCTGTACTACATTCTAGATTTCTGTTCAGTTGACAAAAGGTGTGCGGTGTGTACTTCAAACTTCACTTTAGAGTCATAATTTGGGTATAAAGGAATGAAAGGAGAAGCTTCGAATAATCTCAAATGAACGTCCATCCAAATATGTATTGCACCACGATCAAGTATCATAAACAGTGTTCGATAAACTATCTCCATCACACAAAAGAAGCAAGATCAGGTCTGTAACCCAGCAAAGGAAGAAACCCTGCCATCCATTCTAAAATATATCTGGAGACGAGGATGAAGAAGCTATTCAGGACAGTACCCTGATGTTACTCTGTCATGAGAAATAGACCTCAGAGAAACTGCAAGAAGCAATGCACCAACCATATACTTTCTGTACAGTAGAACCATCTACCATATTTTTAACACCGGCAACCGTATCATCTATAATTACACCTGTGCTAGATACAACATGGTTGGGGGACACTAATACAGTGATAATCTACGATTGTATAACTAGCTAAAAAGTTAAAGCATTTGCAAACGAACCCATTGGAATGAAATGCAGGGGCAGTCCAAAAAATCCACATCACGTTTGCATGAGATGCTTCTCAAGGTATAAGTTTCGAAATGTTAGAAGTGCATTAACTTCAATCAACTGCAGCATTGTTTGTGAAGCCTAGTTATCTCTCTGTGAAAATGAAATCTACCACCCTATGCTAGGGTGCTGTTTTTCCTATTTTAGAGGTGACAATCAAGTCATGAGGTCCACAAAGCGAAAGTGTGCTGCTGGAATGACTTCAATGGCTTATTGGCTCTTGATAAGCTATCACTGACTGACTTTATACGACCCGATTCGGTACTCCTCATGGAATATCATCTTACAGGTATCTATCAACAGTTGATAAATAATTGCACTTAAATTTGGTGGTTGAACTAAGAATAGCAGCAGGTGTCAGATTTAGTCGGGCACAATTGATTCTCGTGTCCATAAAATGGTAGCATATCATCCAACATCTTCATGTACTACAAATCGGTTTAGAAGGGTTACATAGAGAGAAACAAACAAAACCAAATCCACTACCTGCTATCAACATTGGAATCCCCTCAAAAAATAAGAAATTGTCGAAGAAAGCCCTCAACAACGGAAATCTTATCCTGAATATGCATTAAAAAGTTCCTCTAATAACTACTGGCAGTTCTGCATGAAATTTAATCGGCTAGGTCCAGAAATATATTTCCTCGTCATATTCACTCGTATTTAATTTATATTTAGCACTTCACATGTTTTAAGTAGCCCTGAAGTTAACTGGTGAGACCAAATAGATCCTATAATCTTCTTTGGAACAAAGGTCCACATTCAGAAGAGAAGGATCCAAAAGATCAAAAGTCCAGGACCATTGGTCGTCAAAATATCAAAATATTGTAGAATCTAACATCGCCAAATGCACATTACATTTAAATTCCTTTTTTTTGCCAACGTTTCCCAATATATTCGACAACAAAAATCAATCAATGACGGGTGGTTAAGACCTCCTAGCTATTTCAGACATCAATGACTGTCATTATGTTAAATTAGATGACAGCCTGACAAATGAGCTGCACTACATCGTAGTGTGCCTCCATCCATACGGAAACAATATGGAAATATTTCCCTGTTCCATGCTCTTTGTCAAAACCTTTCATGAATGGTTATGCCTTGTGTCAACATTCACTAGATTTCGTCAATGTTGTTTTCTGAGTTTCTTACTTTCCTTTATTTCTGTTATGTCCCTATGAGATCCGATATGGATTCATTGGGTCTTGTTGGAACCATTAACGTCTGTACTTAAGAACAGCGCTAGGAATGAAAGTGTCTTTTTTCCTGCACATATTTTCTATAGCTCTCTCGGCGGCTGTGTTGGAACCCTAACGCCGGAGGCAAAGAATTGACCCCTTGTTTATTGTTTCCTTTGAAAACTATGTTCATGTACATGCTTCATGCAGCAAACCATTTTTCTGTCTCTTTATTTTGGCCACTGCAGACAGGTACCCTAGTCTCCCTAGTACTGCTCACCCATGCTGCTGGCCTAAGACACCTTGATTAAATACATCTAAGAGATCGTAGGAAAAAAGGTTGCAGTCTTATTGCAGTACACTGATTTTTATCCCTAATCGATTCAAAGGTTCATCAAGAGGTAAATGGGCAACCATGACAGAGCTTACAGATAACATAGAGACGTAAGGGTTTTGTATCCAAGACCCCACAGAAACATGGGATTGCATGGATCAGGAAAAAAGATTCATAAAACAGCGACTGAGATGTCAAGGCTCTTTCACCAGTATTAAACAATTTTTGGCACAAACAGATTAAGAATAAATCAGATAAACAATGCATATTTTTACTGGTCTAGTAGCAAACCGAGAAAGATTACAGCGAAAAATTTCTCATATGATACACCGGCTGATTGTCTAAAGCATTAAATATTGAGGGAAAATGTGAATTTATGCCTCACATGCAACGCTTTAGTTTCCAGCTGTTGCTTCTTCAAAAGCCTAACATCTTCTTCGAAGTATATGGCCTCCATGTCGTACCTACAAAATAATGCATATCTCCGCATATGTTAAAGATTCCGATTTAGGTTTGAATCATTCCTGTGACATGAGATCCATCAGGAACAAAGGACTAAAGTCTCTAATAAATGCATGACCGAAGAATGCCACGAATGTTCACAAGTCAAATGAAGCCAAGGTAGGAACATCAGTAACTGCTATCACTGCATAAAAAAAATCTATCATAAATAGTTCACTTTTAAATCGTTGGAATCTTTTGCTGTGGAATATATTTCCTAAATTTCTAATAAGAAACAACTTTTAAATAAGCAAAGGTGAAAAGCCATGTTCTATAAATGAACCACAAGTTTCCGAAATTCTTAACCTCAAGAAAGCAAAAAGTAAAAGATAAAATGGGAATCAATCTCATGTGATAGCAATGTCCAGAACAATGTCATCGAGTAGTAGAGTAATTCTAACCTATTTTAACTTGTATCAATCCATAAAATTACACCTAGAATATACTTCCTGCTCTATGAGTATGTCAACAGAAGAAAGTGCAAATGAGTAAGCAACTGTGAACTGATGCATTTACATTGATGCAGTAATTATTTTCTTCGCGTTTATTAATCCATGAACGATAGTAAGCATTCAATTTCCGAGCTCTCTTTTCTACAATGAGTAAAATGCAGACTTGGTGAAAACATTCTATACAAAAGAGAGGATTAATCTTACTGAGACAGATATGATTCTAGTATGGTGCTCAGCTTCCTCCCGAAACCAGGTACAGGACCAGCTTGAACAGCTTCCGACAGTTCCAACCAACGCTGATCAAGGTCATGAATCAATTGAGATTTTTTGTTTTTGCAAGCCTAGATGGTGTTTCATGTTTTATTACCTCATCGAATGACAAATGGCTTAGTTTTTCATTTGCAATCTCTTCACATCGTACTGTAGCAACCATTACCTATAAGTTTACAAAAGAGATTAAATAGAAAAAACCGAATGCCATCTGATAGAAGGTGAAATGCAGTGAAACCTTGTGAGCAGGAAGATCAAGGTCCTTGTTCTCCCGTATGACTTTCCATATCTGTTGAGCACTAAAGGAAAATCCTGATGCAGGAACAACGCCTCTTCTATCACCTGCAAGGCCTCCTGGTGCGATAGAATGGAAAAATCTCTGCCTTAGTTGAGAAACCTGCAGAGGAATAATTGAAAATTTATAATTAATTTACTATAATTAATAATAATCTTAGTTAGGGAAGCCCAAGACATCAAAAGAATTTCATGTACAACCAAACAGCATGCAATAATAACAAAAAAAAAAAAAGGAAAGACATCTAAAAACTAATAATAATTAGAAGTAAATTTTCATAAAAGATATTCACCTGCTCCTCAAATTGCACTTCTTTCTCTTCATAACTAGGTAAAGCCGTGACCTCGACCTAAACAGACAAATATCTTAAATAAAAGAATTACTCAAGGCTTCCTTAAATACATGACATAACTTACATTGAAAAATCCACTGAGGGGAGTTTCCTTTAAAGCCTGAGGCTTTGAAACTGTATCCCATATCTGAAAAGGTTTGGCATTTGTTCCTTTTGAGCTTAACCATATGAGGAAACCGAATCTAAATGACAAAAGCAAGCCCTCAAGATACCTTCTGAATATCTTCCCTTAACACTGGTTCTAAACGCTCTAATGGAGTCTGTAGATACACAAGCAGGAGAAAAATGATGGGCATTATCCAAGGAAAGTTTTCGAACTTGAAACAGCATTCTCATAAAATGAAAATTATTCATTATGTAGCAAGTAGACCTTTGACTTGTCACGAATAACAAACACCAGTGTTGTCTTGCGAGGACTAAACAAGCGCATCATGACCTGTAGCAAACAGATTTTTTTTTTGTTAAAGATAAGTACGGCCTTGTATTGAGTTAAACTACAGTAATCCATTGAAGCAAAGACAAGAATGAAAAGGTACCTGAAACACGGTCTTCAAAAGAGGTTTGTTTGCAGCATGTTCTCGACCAATATCATGGCACCACCTTGGAGTATGCCAATTTATAAGAAACCAGGACATAATAGACTTTGACCATTTGCAAATTTTCAGAGAATGTAACCAAAGCATTGGACTTACATATTTATCAAAACAATATCTGAAATGGCTAGAGCAAAGAGAGCACTCTGCCTCTCAAATGTGGTATCATCCTGAATCCAGCAGACAAAATGTCACTGAGAGACCCATAACTTGGAAGAATTGCTTGAAGAAGCAAGAGCAAATTTCACGTAAAAAAAAACAAGTTAGGCAAAAGATGAGTTATAGTCTATATTAATCATGTTGACCATCCAAACCACAAGCAAGGCCATTGGTTCACCTTAAAAGCAAGTATATTAATTTGCCCTAGTTAACTATGTTGTGGTACAAAATGGAAGAAGTAAGAATACACATCATTATAGAACAAAACTGAGAAAGGATTGTTTAGGTTCAAGATAAAGGAAAGAGAGGGTAGAAAAATCACAAGATAATTCCATGTCATGCAATGAAACAATTACGGAATGTGCTCCTAGGTTACAGTGGACTTACTAGGAAAGAGAGGGTAGAAAAAGCACAAGATAATTACATATCATGCAATGAGACAATTACGGAAATTGTGCTCCTAGGTTACAGTGGACTTACTACTATCTCATCTGCTAATACTAAAGACGTTATTTCCACAATTAGACAGGTTTAGAATTATACACATTAGCAGAACGTTGTCATCATGGAAGAGCAAAATTTCACATGTGCCACTAAAGGCCAACATGATAAGTCATCAAGTGACAAAACATGGAAAAAACTAAGTCATATGGTCACTACTCTTCTAAGGCAAAACAAGGCAATGCCTCACCTTCAAAGTATACAAGTTTTTGATATTTAAGCATAACAATGACGTATATATGCACACACAATACTGACATAACAATAAGATATACTTTCAAGAAATCTTTTGTATATTTCATATTAGTGTAATATCTGTTGGCAGTACCTTGTTTTACATTTTTAAAAATAATACTAAAACATTTCAACACAACAGTATTATCTATTAATTATACATAAACATATACATTTGGCTAAACATGCTGGCAACCAGCAACATGCACCATTCACCTGAATATAAATTCCATGCTCACCCCAACACGAGCAGCCACAATTCGTGTTCAGAATCGACGTGAACACAATAGTAGGCCACATAAACAGCCAAGATGCCTTGCGTTTGAGACACCTTCTTACGGAGGAAACATCTTGAGTACCATACATAATATCGAAGAAGTATAAGCTTCAAAACCAGTTATGTGTTCTGGCAAGATACACACACTAGAAATTTTAAGAGATTGAAGACAATCATTATTTTTCTCACCATCACTCTCCTTATGATTTGTATTATAAAAGCTAAATTTATAGAACTAGGAAAATATATTACTTCAATAATCAATATAACAGTGAAGGCAAACCTGAGCTGAGATCCAGTGGTGAATGTGATCATGGATCGACATTTGTTTTTCTCTGCCCCAAATGTGGATAGGATTATTCCCAGGGAGACACGTGGAAGATGTAGAACATCACGCGGTGTGGCATTCAAGTATATCGTAATTCAGTGCCAGAAGCATGTCTATGAGACATTTTAATCGAGTTCTGGGGAGATGGACACGAAATTTTCTATCCAGCCCTATTTTATGAGCTATATTATTCATACATTTTAAAAATGTACGGATAATATCCACCTCTATTACTTCTGAAATTTAGAACGTTAAGTCTTAAGTAAGAGTGTTAGTCTTTGAAGAGATAGAGAAGGATCTTGTGGCTCGCACTTGTCAAAACGGAACAATTTGATTTCCCTTTGATAATACGTCTACCAGTTAGCAAATTAAGATATCCAAAAGGTTCACGTCTATATACCAAAATCGTATAAACACCTTTCCAACACCTTCGATCCAGAAAGCCAAAATAGAATGAGATGAATTACCTCTCCTCTTTCCCTCCCATCAGTGCCCTCTAAATCCATTACAATTGTGCATGGCTCGATACCGATGCATTTTGCGATCCAAATGCCTTTGGTTGTTTGACTCCTATGAGAACAGGGATACTTATCTTTATGCCTCACATCTGTTGAAAACTATCAAACATCAGAAAATAAATAAGTACATATACCAATACCTTCCTCTGTATGCATCCATCTCTCTGAAGTTTGTCTTAAAAAGATGATTTAATAGGGTGCTTTTACCTGGACATGGGAAAACAACGGATCAAAATATTAGAGGGGAAAACATTCACCCACCGTCATGGTAAGCTTTCACAATGGAAAGCAACTTCTAATCTGATATAATAGAGGGGGGAAAAAGGAACCACATAACTGAGCACATTGGAGAACACAACCTACAAGAGAATCCAACTTTGTGTATACAGACATTTATTTTTCTGGACATTTAAGCAATGAATCAAGGAGACCCTTCCCTACAGCTATGGTGACAACAGAGACAGCAAACCAATGATGAACCATAAACCAATGATGAGAAAGGCATGGTACCATATGATCTTTGGAATAACGAAGAATTAATCATGATGACGAAAAAGAGAAAAAATCCAGCAGATGGACCTTTCAGTAACAAAGGCAAATCATCAGATGGCATATAAATCGTCAATTTGGGAAGGAACAAAGGATAAAAAGAAGAGCATTTCATAAGAATCTTCAAAATCTCAGCCTTTCAGCCAGAACAGATACAGACACGTACATGAACTTGGACACAGATGTGAATCCTATTGGCGTCAACAAGGTTTCAACAAAAGCAAATAGAGCCTTAGATGGGTTTGTTCAGTAATCCAACTGTGGAGTTTAGACGTAATTCCTATAAGATGGGAATAAAAAGCTTTAAACAGGCTATCCGATCAGGACAGAAAGAGGGCCAAATCAATGCTATATCCCATTGGTGGCAAGATAAAGTCTTGAACTAGTATCCAATTCCAAAGTATTGCAGTCTCTTGTTGGACTATATCTGTACACCATTTTGACTTTAGGATAAGAAGAAGATGGATTGAATTTCCAATAATTGTTTATATCATTTGCTGACTAGAAGCAGAAAACATTCAGACTATTGATAGCCTACAGATGGAAAGCATCGAAAGTTCTATCTAGAATAAACATATTGACCGGATTATAAGAAGAATATTAGACCATGAACAATGAAAAGTAAAGTAACATGTATCTGCCATTAGGCTGGAACGCTTTCTGAAACAAACTCCTATTAAAATTTTGTAGACATAACTTAAGGAAGTACATCACGGATTCATCCTGAAATCGACTTATTTTGAGTCTATTTTCGTTTCTCTAGGTGAAGACTGCAATACACCACTCAAGGCTAATGCGGCGGCTGTAGAGTATAAAAATAGGCCTCTCACCAATGATAGAAAAAAAAGTATCATCATAGACCATCTCAGAGATAATAACAGAATTATCCAAAAAGAAACGCATTGTAATTTGAAATCAGGCTTGTGATATGCATAACAGTTGCTGACCAAGTCTCCTAATCAGAGTGAAATTTATGCATAATGATCTAACAGTTTCCATTTGGTTTTGGTACAGTTCCTCGCTTATTTCATCCCACAAGGAGAAAAAACTCTGTAATACCAAACATTATGCCACCAATTGTAGGGTAGAAGCATTCTTAGGACTACTAGGAAGCTTCAAACATGCCTGCAACAGGTCCAAACTAAGCCTTGTTTCAATGCAGGAAATTCATAAAATGTCCAAGCACGGAATCACCAACGACACATAACAACACAAGTGAGATCTGCCACTGAGTTTAAGCAAAGAATTTTCAATAAAGAGTGGCAACCAGAAACAATTAAAGTATTCCATGCCTCAAACAGAGTAACAAAGTAACGATTTGTATAAAAATGTGGCATCGCTTTGGCCTTAAAATTCCATGCCCAACTTAGTAACTATTATAATGGTAACTACGATGATGCCAATGATTGATGATGGAGACAGCAATGGTGATGCAAGTGACTCGTAAGGAAAAAAAAAGAAGATAGTTATACCATAATCTGAGAGGCGAGATCGTACTATGGAAATTTCCCATCCATTCCATACGACGATTAAAAAGTTAATCTAATGAGCTCAGAGTTCTTAGGGTATGCATCATGAGGAAGAAACATGTCCAAAATCCCTCGACCTCCGTACATTTACCCCCAGCGTACATAATTCTACCCCCTACGCTGGTTCCGAACGAGATTTTCAACCTCTTAACCATTATAGAAGCCCTATTCCGCGACTTTCACAGGCATAATTCAATGTTTCAGATTTATTTCTCCCATACAAATCGCACTCGGAAGATCAGGACATCGGCCGTGCGCTTTCAGAGCATCCATTGGTCGGAAAATGGAAATGACAAGATCCATCGTGGCCGGAAAGTTCTCTCACCGCTGCTCTGGGGTCCCATGATGGAGACCACCGCGTAGGAGAGCCCGCACTGGGCGACCCTCGCCGTCTTCATGAAGCTGTCCAGGCCCGCTGCGTTGAATTCCCCGTCCCCATCGATCAGCTGCGTCGAACAGCACTCGTCGGCTCCCATCCCGATCGATCACAAGGAAGAATAACAACCCGAGAACAAGGTGGAATATCTGGCACAGAGGCAGAAGCCACCCCGAGGATCAGGAAAGAAAGATGAGCTCGTAGAAAATACACATCAAAACCAGAGAAACCACAACGGGCTTCTCCAAAGAAGTGCGATGCCCTTCTCCTCGCCCTACCCGGTCTCTTGGCGCTGGCCAGACCAGGACAACAGAGCCCGTTGTGGGGTAGAAGATCACAGAGACTCGCAGAAACAGAGGGCGGTTCTGCCTGGTACGAACCGCTTTAGGTGGTTAACGTTGCACCCCAATTTGCCCAAGAATCTTGGAAGATGGAAGAAGCACGTGCATGAAATGATCAACTCCCCATAATGGTAAAAAATAATTAGTACGTATATAGTATGATATGTAATAATAGAGAAAATGGCAAGATAATGAGGATCATTTTGTTAATAAAAATGGCAAAAATGATGCTATAAAGTTGTCCCACTCCTCTCTATATTTAGCAAAAAGACACCACCCACCCATCAAGCTACATCTCATGGGAGAAACTAACAAAAAATAAAATAAAAAAGGTATATATTTTTTTATTCCATTCATCAATTCAGCAAAGTGAAACTATGCACATTACCCAATGATAAGTTAGTTATTTTCTCCAAATAAAAAAAATTAAAATTATTCCTAAGAATTAGTAAGTTGTTTTAATTACTACCAAGTTATTCACACATTATTCAACATGAGTTTAATTTTGTGATCATTTTATATCACATACCATAGGAAATGTGTGATATAAATCATAAGTTTTGAACCCCCAATCAAGTTTCAAAGCTGATAAAAACTTGTGGCGAAATAAAGGTCCGTTAAAATTTCTTAGTAATATCGTGCTTTTTTATATAACTAGTTTAATATTCCAAAAAATAAAGTTTATGTCAGGGAATAATGTCATACACCAAAGTTAAAAAAGAAAAAATAGAAAAACTTTACATTATTTAAAACTCAGCGTAGCACTTCAAGATTGATATCTCATTTACATCATGAATTCAACATCATATCAAATTTAATATGACTAAATAGTTGACTCTATCGGAGTCAATATTTCATTAGATTAAACTTATAATATGAGGGCTAATATCTCAACATATGACTAAATAGTTTTCATTGTAGACTAATCTACCATATGATAGCTGAATCTATCAACTTGACACACCAAGATTAATATGTTAGTATGTCAAGCTTCCATCATAAAATAATGTCAAATATTATACTAAGTTTGATATTTTTAGTCTGTCAATATGCGGGAAGGCTGTGCAGTAAACTAGTGGTGTATTAAGGCAAATATTCACAAGCATCGTAAGAATAACTGAAAATAGAAAAACATAATATTTTAGGAAATAAATAAATAAATTTATATATATACCACATTAGTTTATAAGAAAATATATTGGATGTTGCGGGCTGATAAAGTTCATCAAGATAATATTTGTTTGGAAAATATAGAGAGAGAAATTTGGCAGAAAATAATGTAAATCATATGAATAAAACTTTTATGAGGCTGGCCAAAGACCGGTGTCCTTAAATATGGGGTCCACCCCTGCAAGACCCGTTATGACTGGGCCCAGCTCGGCATTTATGCAATTATATGAAGACAACACGGCAAAAAAATTAAAATATACCATTTTTTCAAATAAGAGCATGGTTAGACTGCGCCGGTCGCAACAGAAGTCAACGTTCCTCTGTCAACGCCCAACTCTAATGGGCACTTTGACCCTCTCTCTCTCTCTCTCTCTCTCTCTTCCTCCACGCGGTTCTCGATTAATCTAGCCAGAAAAGGTCGGATCAGACGGTGGGGGGCGGGGGAGGCGGGGGGATGCATCGAGGAGGGCACCTGGATCTTGTGGCGGGGCGTGCGGGCAGGGGCGGTGGATGGATGGCGGGCGGGGGAGTCAGAGAGCCGCCCTCTTCAAGGCCGGCATGCCCCGAGAGCCGCCCTCTTCCTCGGGATGATGTTTCCCTCTATCTCTCAACTACCTCGTTTTAACTCCCCCCGCCGCTCCTCAACTGATCTTCATCTTCCTCTTCATCCTCTTCTTCTCCTTCTCCTTAAATAAGTCCCCAACGCCATCGCCCACCCGTCCTCCTCTCTCTCTCTCTCTCTCTCTCTCTCTCCCTCTCCCTCTCTCCCTGTCTCTCTAGATCAGTGTGTGGTAGCGTACCGAGTAAAGGGCAAGAAGACATGGGCTGGGGACTACTCCTCCTCCTGGTTTTGCTGCCCGGGCAGCGGGGGGCTGTTGCGTCCACGAACCCCACTGATTTGCTGGACCCATTCGTCTCCTCGCCGAGTATACCTCTCTCTCTCTCTCTCTCTCTCTCTCTCTAAAATCTTTCTTTCTCTCTCTAACATGGTGGGGGTCCGCAGACGGCTCATGCGATGGGGTGCAGTGCGGGAGGGGCAAGTGTCAACCGTACGCCAGCGTCTCCCTCTTTAGATACTCCTGCGAATGCGATCCCGGCTGGACCAAGCTCGGCGGTGGCGGCCTCCTAGGGAGCCTACTACCAATCTTCCCCTGCGTCATCCCCAACTGTGAGACCTCCCTCCCTCTTCCTCTTCCTCGTCTTCTTCACCCCTTTTCTTCTTCCTCACCCCTCTACCTCTCCCTCCTCTTCCACCAGGCACCCTCAGCTTCTCCTGCACAGACGACACCCCGGCGACGGCGGCGCCGCCTTTGACCTCCTTCTCGGCCTCTGCAGTCTGCGCGTTTGGCATCTGCGGAAATGGCGACTGCGAGGGGACCCTCGGCGTCAACCTACGCTGCAACTGCCGCCCCGGCTACGCCAACTTCCTCAACAACACCGCCTTAGCCTGCGTCAAAGAATGTGAGCCGCCGCCGCCGTACATCTCCGCGAATCTGGGGAGCTCTGTTGACATTCTCCGTTGCAGGTTTCATCGAGGCGACCTGCGCAGACCTCGGGTCAACAACTCCGGCTGATACTCCGCCGCCCCCCCTCCTTGCCGACCATGGAAACGGAGGTTAGACGGGGCCCTTAGAATCTATTTATTATTTTTCTCTGTGCACCGACTGAATCGAAGCCCAGGAAAGATGAAAGAAGATGAGATGAATGAAACCCACGAAAATCAGGAGATTTCCTCCCCCACCGTTTCTTTTACCATATTTAGTAAATAACCATCTTTATCTTGTCTTGCTTCCGTGGCAGCTGCTGTTCTATCTCCAGCGGGCTTGGCGCTGATTCTCCTGATCTCTTCCCTGCTGCTGGCTACGAGGACATAGAGACCACACGGATGCCATCCATTGACTGCGACGCTGTGATATATTTATTTTTCCATATTTAGATTGCTATGTTGAGAAATATCTATAAAAGTTAGACATTCTGGGCGATTCCGAGAGTCTCTGGATTGCTTTCCTCAGCATCTTTGACGACCCATTTTGCTCGGGTGAGGGGACTAAGGAAGTCAACTACCTCCATGAGGAACTTCTCATGATAGATCATCTTCTGGGAGGAAGGAGATGAAAGAGCCAAAGGGACCTGTAATTTTGTGAGAGAAATCATAGTCAGAAAAACCTCCAAGAACCTGGTTAGCGAAATCTTTCCTAGAATGGGTTGGTCATGGGTTTTTTCGATTTATCATGCAGAATTTCATGGCATCAGATCTTGAATAAAATAAGAACAAATGGCCCAGGTTTTTGAATGAAGAAAAATTAATAAATCTGATGAAAAATATGATCTGTAGGATCATCCTGAGAGGAACACCGGAAGCGAAGATGAAGACTTCCGAAATATTTCGGAAGCATGAATTTCGGTGAGCAGCAGTGGGTGTTCTTGAACATGGCTGGCGGCCATGGCATCCCCGAAGGAAAATTTCGGTGAGAAGATTGGAATTTCGTTAATCTGGACTGGGCAATCTATTTTCTCACAAGCCAAGACAAGTAAGCGAGATTTTGTATCATTTTTACTGGATCGGTCTTAAAATTGCAATGGATCTGAGATCAGAAGTAGGAACTGTTTTTGGTTGGTGGAATGGAATAGTAAGAAAATTTTGAATTTTTTTTACCAGTTTCATTTCCAGTTGTAGAAGCATGAACATTTCAGCCGTCCAGATTAACGAAATTTCAATCTTCTCACCGAAATTTTCCTTCGCGGATGCCATGGCCGCCAGCCCTGTTCAAGAACACCCACTGCTGCTCAATCTCCTTTGACGGCCGAAGTCTGCCTCTCTATCCTCAATCGATCTCCCGAAGAATGAATGAATGAAACATCAAATATAATCTGATCAATACGTCGCATAGGTTCTGCATGACGGATACCCTTCGGCCTCACCGGATTGTGGATCCCAACACTTCAACGAGCATCCCCAGGGCGCTGTCAGATTATCGTCACCTACAGCCATCACAGATTTGTTTCAGCTTCCGGTCAGCAAGAAATCCAATCTCTGCAAAACCAGGACAGGATTCCTCATCTTCCACTGTTCTTCCAATGGGGAGGGACGATTATTGCGACGTTAACAATGAGAGAAAATCAGAGGAGAAGGAGAGGTTGTTCATGGAGGTCTTCAGAGTCCGGCGCAAACCCTAAATGTACTTCCGCAGAAGCGAAGCCAGATCATCTGCGTCCACTCCAGTGTCTTCGCAAAGTCGATCATCAGTTTAGAACACAAGCAAGCGGCGTAGAATACCATGACAAGCTGTGATATTTCTTCCAAGTTCTTCCACAACTCGAATTCAAACGAGGAAAAATGCACGACGAAAAACTGGTAGAGCAAGGAACTGCCAGATCGAGGCTAACTTCATCAGCACCGTCAATGGCGGGATCAATGCGGGGATGAATGGGGGACGGCCTTACTCAAAACTGCCCTCCGAAGCGGGACAGTCACCTGAGGCCGCCGCAGGCAAGTCGCTAACCACCACCATTCCTCGTCGAGCAGGTTTCCGACGATCACGCGACTAAGAGAGAGAGAGAGAGAGAGAGAGAGAGAGAGGGGGAATGGGGAGGAGATCTGGGGAGGAAAGCGTACTGGAACGGGTGGTTAATGGGCCCATTGTGAGCCCAGTAGAAAATTTTGAAAACTAATGGGCCTATAACGGTGACCCAAAGAGAACCTCAAGCCCAAAATACTTAGAATCACTGTCACGCCAAACGGCCCCTGTCCGTGCTGCTGCTGCTGCTGCTGTTCTCTCTCTCTCTCTCTCTTCTCTCTCTGGGAAGCTCCAGGGACAATCTGGTGCTCCAAGTCCTTCTCTCTCCTCGGTGTTTGGTACGAAAGGGAAGGGTAGAAACCTTTGAAACCTAACGGGAAGCTCAAGCCCAAAATGCTTAGAATCACTGTTAGGCCAAATGGCTCGTATCCGTGCTACTACTGCTGATCTCTCTCTCTCTCGCTCGCTCTGGGAAGCTCCAGGTACAATCTGAAGCTCCAAATCTTTCTCTCTCCTCGGCGTTTGGCTGCGAAAGGGAAGACTACGATGCCATCTCTCTCTACTTGAGAGGAAGCGAGCTCGAAATCTCTCTTCTCGACATGTCTCGTGACAGGGAGACTCTCTCTTTGCTCTAGGCAGCTCCAAATCTTTCTCTTTCCTCGACGTCGCGCACGAAAGGGAAGACTACGACGACATCTCTCTACCTTAGGGAGCACTGGAGCTCGAAATCTCTCTCCTCGCTGTCTCTCTCTCTCTATCTCTAGCTATGGGGCAGATCCGTGGGAGAGAGGATGGGGTGGTGTTAGGCTCCGAATCCAAAGGTGCGGGCTTTGGAGGATTTTCGCCGTCGCTTTTCCGGCGATTTCCACTGCCGCGATGATGACGGCCGAGAGAGGGAGGGGAGGCCATCTCTCGCTTTCCTCTTTCTCGGTTTCCGTTGCCGGCGCTTTCTCCGACTCCGAGGCCAGCACAACATTTCTACTCCCCCTTGTCGGGAATATTTCCCCCCCTTCAAAGCAACAGAAATCTCGTCGGAATAATCAGAGGGATTGCTTCCCCCCCTCCCTTCCCTTCCCTCCTCGTCGCGCGGTTCCTCCTCCGCTCCGTAGATGACGACATGCTCGACGGAAATCCAAGCATAGCTCTCTCTCTCTCTCTCTCTCTCTCTCCCTCTCTCTATCTCTCTATCTCTGTCGTACCGCTCGTCGTCAAGACAATATTCTTGACCGAGCTCGGCACGCGGACCGTAAAACAAGAAGCTTCCGTGCAGTGGATTTCAAGGACCCCGGATCATTGGCAGGTTGGTAGGGGGGAGAGGCCAGGCACTTGTCTCCTCATCGCTGCCATGATTCGTCTGCATCTCTTCTTCTCGCCACTCTCTCTCTCTCTCTAGATCACTCGTCGAAAGACCCAACTTTCATCTCTTTCGAGGTGCTTCCCCTTTGCTCTTTTCCCTCTCCTGGCCTTGACCAGTCAAGGCCGAAGCTCATCTCTTTTGGGATGGTATCCAGACTAGGGTTCTTCTGACAGACCTTCTCCAACATCTCCTTACTTCCTTCTCACTCATCTCCCTCCCTCTCTCCTCCTCTCGCTCATCATATTCTACCGTTTTCTCGCACAGGATAAACACTCTTCCGCGTTCAACGAGGCGGCTGATAATGAAGGCTCGAAGGCTTGAAGGCCCCCACCACTTTATGTTGCACCACGACGGCTTACCCATCACGCTGCTCAGATTCTAGAGAGAGAAAGGGGAAGGAGCGGGAGATCCGATGAAACCCTTTGGCCGTCCCCTTGTTTCTTCACATACCCTATTGGAGATTCCCCGGGAGGGGTCTCTTTTGGTGGCGGAGAGGCCCCCTAGGACCTGAACCGGAGGCTCAACGAGGCCTGAAGAAAGAGGGTAGAGAGAGAAAGGAGGCACTACGAGATTCCAGATCCCTCAGGGGGACTGACTCTCTGATGGCGGCGAAAGCTACAGGAGCTATGACCGAGGTTTCGCATCCCAAGGAGTGAACTAGCGACAAGCCCCCGACGAGTTGCACCTTCGAAGTGTAGAGGATTAGAGAGAACGACAGATCATCCTCTCGCATAGGCACCACTGGCGTCCACGTGAGTACACACTCTGCGCAACCCCATCTCCCTCCCTCCCCCTCTATCTCTCTCTCAACCGATCTCTCTTTCTCTCTCTCCCCCTCCCTACACACAAATCTCAGCGGCGAGGAGCAGCTAATTGCATGTTCCATAGATATTTTATCCAACTTCTTAATTGATCTACAATTATCATAATTCAGGTGGCATTTAGGTAGGAATTTAATTTTCATGATAAATATTAATTATGAAGATTGAAAAATCAATTCAAAAAATAAATTTATTGACATCATTTTGCAAAATGTGGGAATAAGTTGAATCTTGGATCATACTATCCCATCATGTAAGTAGCAAGATTAGCAATCCATCTAGAGTTAATGTATCTTGTTTATTTATTAAAAACACTATTATCATAAAACCAACTTAACTTACTGTGGTTATAAAATAAATTTCCATTATTAGTTTAAAAAATTTGTTGGTCAACCCTCTCATCATCAAATTTTATTGACAATGAAACCCACAATGTGGTGTAAAAAGAAAAAAATTCGTGATCATATATATGCCCTAGAATAAAAACGGAAAACACTAAAAGTTATGGCATCGAAAGATCATATCAAAACGGACGACTAGGGTTTGAGCTCCCCTCTCATGGGGCTCTCCTTCTCTAGATGGTACAAGGTGTTAGCAATTTGTGACATTGAGGCATGATCTGCCGACCATCGCAAGGGTTCTAGGATGGCTCTGGAGGGTAGGAAAAAGGTCAACTCTTTGACGGATTTGACGTCATTTTCTGATCTAAAAGAAGCACCCGCTCTGAAAATCATCTCAAAGTTTACTTCTTGTGGCCTGTAGTTTTTTCACGAATAACGAACCTGCAGTTCTTGATGTTTGACTTTCACAGGTTAGAATAATTGTCTCATCAGTTCTGTGCTAAAACCATGCCATGTGGCCACGCGCTACGGCTTCCCCTGCTCAGCTGTCCAAGGAGATCAGCTTCTTGGGTTGGTCAGCTTAAAGAGGATAGATCTCGAGTAGATATAGGCGCAAATCCCCGAGGGAGATTGAGAAAGATTGAGAGAGAGAGAGGTAGATGGGTGAGTAATGAATGAGTGAGAGAGAGGGAGAGCGAGTGAGTGAGAGAAGGAGAGAGAGAGGGGTCCGGGTTTATGGAGCGCCATAGGCCCTCGCTCTCTCTGAGCAAACCCCTTGCCTTCCACGGTGAGCCCGTTACAATGCAGTTCATTATAGTCTCGAAGTCTGTCTCAGCCGTAGCGAGGGGGGAGGTTCTTGGAGATTGGGATCCATGCAAGGAAGCGGAAGTCAAACGCGAGCCCTCCAAAAGTCCATCATCTCTCTCTCGCTGTCGCTGATTATTAATGTAAGTGGGCTTTTAAAGCATCTCGTTTTCGTCGTCTCATTAACACCTTCCCCAGTACACTGTGCTGCCAGTACAGCTTACCATATCCACGACAGGCAGACGTCACGATCGTCCACGTGAGATTCCGGCGACTCAACCACGGTTAAAATAACTCGGGTTCCTAAAAGAACGATAACACCCTTCCCTATGAGAGGGAACAAGTGGAATGTAGAGGGCGTTTCCGTCATATCAGGAGATTTTTGAAGAACGAGACGGAAGGGGGGGTAAATCGGCGATTTTCTATCCTTATGGGGCTGAAAACAATGAAAGTCATTTTCAAGGTACTGACGGGAAACCGAGGATTACCGATGTTCCCCTACTTATTAAACCCATTTTTATTTATAGGGCCCCACCTGAGAGTAGACAGAGCAAGTAGAGAGGGAGTAGAGAGAGAGAGAGAGAGACGGGTAGTTAATGTCCTCGTGAGTGCTGTACGCAAAGGATGCGAGTCCAGTGGGGGAGCCCTCTCCTTTGGGAAAGAGAGAGAGAACCAGGTGACGGGAGAGAGAGTGACAGTGAGGGTGGAGGAGACGGCAGTAAGCAAGACGCAGGGGCGTCCGTCGTCTTGTCGCCTGAACCGAAACTCAACCCCCTCTCTCTTTCTCTCTCTCTCTGTCTATATTTCTCTCTCTCTCTCTCTCTCTCTCTTCTGTCAGACATTCCTACCCGGTATTCTCTTCTCCTCGACCCTTCTCTTCTCCGCCTTTCCTGTTATATTAACCCGCCAAGAGCGAGATCGGTGAGGGAACCCCTCTCTTCCCACCCTGATGGAGGAAGTTGGCGAACCTTGCAGAGCGGCGGCGGCGGCGCCGCCGTCGTCATTCGCCGCAGAGATCCCTAGGGATCCCATGGAGCTGCTCTCCCGGTCGTGGAGCGTCTCCGCGTTGGAGGTTTCCAAGACCCTCGCCCCTGCAAAGGACGGCGGCGCCGCCACCGCCGGCGGCGGGGGGGGAGGAGATGGAGCCATTGTGGAGGAGGAGCTGGAGCTGGAGGCGGTCATGGCCATCGCCGCTGCCGGGAACCCCTTCTCCTTCGCCACCTCCGCCACTTCCCAGCTCGTCATGGAGAGGATCATGGCTCAGTCGGTGCGCTGCTCGTTCTTCGAATTCCCTGAATCATTGATTCATTTCTCAGCGCTCTTTGAAAGATTAGAGATACGCGAAGGAATCGGTTCTTCGATTCTATCGAAATGGTTGTTTGTCTCTGTTTGATTGATTCAAGCTTGTGGATCTGCAGCAGGAAGTGTCGCCGCGGACCTCCGGTCGTCTCTCCCACAGCAGCGGCCCTCTCAACGGCGGCCATAGCTGCGGATCCCTCTCCGACAGCCCCCCCGTTTCCCCCTCCGACGCCGATGACCTCAACAAGGTAGCTTCTCTCTCTTCTCTCTTTTTCCACAGTGAAGACGAAGAGGCTTGGAACGGGTGGAGAGGAGGATGCTTTCTCTCTCCAATGCCAATGCGGAGGGGATGATGCTTCGTGCCCTCTGATCGTGTGATCTTTTTCTCTTTTTCTCCCGAAACCCTAGCCTTGTTCTTTTCAGCTTTCACCCGTTTCTCGCCGTGTCTGAGGAAACAGCCCCCCGCATGGTAGCCGCCACCACCCCGCCACCCCTTCTTCTGTCTTTTCTGATTCTGGGCACCGAAGCAAGGGAGAGGAGGGAGAGAAGTGTTTAGAGAGAGAGAGAGTGAGATAACCCACCGGCGATGAAGAGTTCTCTCTCTCTTCTAGTAGCGTTCTCTCTCTGGACTAGCTCGCCGGCAAGGAAGATGGCGGGTCTTGGTCAAAGATCTTCTGGAAAAGGGCAGAGAGGCAGAGAGGATTGAGGACGGGGCGAGAAATTCCCCTCTCCTGTCTTCTTCCTCTTGTTCTCCTGCGACGCCGCAGAGAAGGATTCCCTCTCATCCTCGGAAGGAGGTTAGAGAGAGTGAGAGAGAGAGAGAGAGAGAGAGAGAGAGAGAGTAATATAACCTCCTATCTTCTCTCTCTCTCTTCTTTCCCTGTCTATCTGTGCCTGTCTGCGTCGCATGCTCTGAGCGATGACGGAGAAGTAGGCAAAAGAAATCCCCAGACCGTCCTCTCAGCCTGTGATGCTCCCTCTGCACGAGGAAGCGCTGTCTCCTGCCTCTCTCTCTTATCTCCCTCTTGTCTCTCTCTCTCTCTCTAGGAATCGCTCACCGAAAGGTCCTCCGCTTGCTTTGTCTCCGTTGTGACTGACCGACCCGTCTTCTTCTGCTCGCCGGCGCAGTACACCAGAGCGGCGGCGGGAGGCGGCAGCGCCGCCGCAACGGGCCAGCAGTACAGGGGAGGTAGCAGGACGGTGGGGCGGTGGCTCAAGGACCGCCGGGAGAGGAAGAAGGAGGAGACGCGGGCCCACAACGCCCAGGTCCACGCCGCCGTCTCCGTCGCCGGCGTGGCGGCGGCGGTGGCCGCTATCGCCGCCGCCACCGCCATCTCCGCGCCGCCGCGGGGGCCCAGGACCGACATGGCGGTGGCCTCGGCGGCGACGCTCGTAGCGGCGCAGTGCGTCGAGGCCGCCGAGGCCATGGGAGCCGCCCGCGACCACCTCGCCTCCGTCGTCAGCTCCGCCGTCAACGTCCGTACCCCCGGCGACATCATCACCCTCACCGCCGCCGCCGCCACAGGTCAACCCTCCCTCCCTCCCTCTCTCTCTCTCGTTGTCACCTCTCCCTTCTCCTCCTCCTTTTCTCTCTATCCCTCTCTCAGGAGGATTACTCTCTCTCTCTCTCTCTCTCTACCTCTCTACCAGCCCTACGGGCGGCGGCGACGCTCAAGGCGAGGACCTTGAAGGAGGTGTGGAACATCGCCGCCGTGACGCCGGTGGACAAGGGCCAACCTCATTCCCACGCCGGTGAACATCTCCGCCACCACCACCGTCGGCAGCGCCACCAGCAGCATCAGCAGCATCCCACCGAGAGCTGCTTCAGCGGGGAGCTGTTGGCGGAGGAGCAGAACTTCCTTGGCCTCTGCAGCCGCGAGCTCCTCGCCAGGGGGACCGAGCTCTTGAAGCGCACCCGCAAAGGTAAGAAGCCGCCGCCGACGCTGCCGCTTGTTGACTTGCTGGCATCCCCGTTGACTCCGCCGATCCTCCGCAGGTGCTCTGCACTGGAAGGTCGTCTCCGTCTACATCAACAAGACGGGCCAGGTCAGCTCCTCTCTTCCTCCCTGCCCCCCTCCCGAAGAAATCTACTGAATAAAACGCGCTGGATTATCCATCCGCACTTAGTGAGAGGGAAAATCGTCTGTGGCAGGTGATGCTGAAGATGAAGAGCAAGCACGTGGCAGGGACGATCACGAAGAAGAAGAAGAGTAAGTATACGCATGCCCGCCACCTGTCTTACCTAATTCCCCAGAGCGGCCGGCGGTGCTGACTTTTGTGGCGAGCGCATATGCAGACGCGGTTGCGGGGGTGTGCCGGGACGTGGCGGCGTGGCCGGGACGCCACCTGTTGGACGGCGGGGAGCAGCGGCGCTACTTCGGACTGAGGACGGCGGAGCGGCGTGTCATCGAGTTCGAGTGTCGTAGTCAACGGGAGTACGACCTCTGGACGAGCGGCGTCGAACGCCTCCTCGCCGTCGTCGCCGACAAGCCCAAGCTCCCTCCCTGAGAGAGTTAGTTACACAGAGAGAGAGAGAGAGAGAGGAGAGAGATGGTGTGTGGCGTTGAACACGAGCTGACCATCCGCGTATTAATGAGAGTTGACTTGCAATAGATCTTCAATGTAAATAATTGTTGAATCGTTTACTCCGCTAGCGGAGGAGGATCTTACACCGATGTGAGACAGACGAAGCGGTTCCAAAGATGTTGACTTTCGAAGCTTCAGTCAGCTATCGGCTGCCCTGAAGATGGTGAGGAGATAGAGGAAGAGGTTGACCACGTCGAGGTAGAGGGCGACGGAGGCCAAGATGTACTCGTCGTAAGTATGGCGCTTGATGAGGTTGTCGGTGTCGTAGATGATGTACCCGCAGAACAGGATGGCCGCCACGGCGCCATAGATCATCGTGGAGATCTTCCCCAGAGGGAAGAAAATCTGCACCCCCCACCGAACTACAAAGTCAACCACCCCGCAGGGTCTTCATGCATGCACAGATGCGTGTAAAAGTGGTAGAAGTCAACGCACCTGGATGAATCCGAACACTATGAGGACGAGGAGGGCGCCGAAGAGGAAGGGCCCGAGGAAGCTGAAGTCCTGGCCCCTTCTGGCGGCCCAGAATGTGTAGAGAGTGAGGCTCACCACCACCACAAAAGTCAAAATGGCAGCTTCTAGGATCACCCTCCCTGTTCGTCATGGTATCAAAAATAAAAATAAAAATAAACTTATAATGAGAACGGGAGGCACATTTTCTTTCTAATTATCAAAATTAAACGAAGGAATCATCTTGGAGGCCAAGATGAACTCATAGATCAGATGGGCACAGCCTCACAAGGTCTCCAAGGATGATCTCAAAGGTTGACTTTAGAGCTGGAATGGGGGTCTAAGGCTGCTACTTAGATTCACAGGGGAAGATTAAATGAACTCTTACAGCATTTGGCATCCTCATCAAAACTCCATGATTTCAGGAACACCCGAATCTACTGAGAGGACAGAAATTTCTATCAAAGCCGCGCCAGTGATGAGGATTCCTCCAAGAAAGACAGGGATTATGTTGCCAGGCATGAGCATTTTAACTATACTGATATAAGACGAGCTTTTTAGGGCATTCTCTAGCCTCCCATATGGCACATAATCCACAGAATCAATTGCTAGATCGAATAAGGAAACTTGGATTGATTAAAGGTACTCAAACAGAGGCAGACAAGGAATGGGGCCGAATCTGTAAAATATCTCCTCTAAGCAACAAACTAATTTAGAGAACACCCGGTCATGAATGAGAGTTTGGATCGTTCGGACGTTTTATGAGCAACAGGTGAAGGAAGCAATGGTATTTTTTTCACGTACGCAATAGCAAAATTCTGAAGAGATAATCACATAAAAGAAAACCTTAAGCTGAAACAGGGAAAAATTATAAGAAGAATTGATCCAAATCAAAATAAAGCCTGGTTAATCAGAAAGCTCTAATTGTATGCTATAATGCCATCTCGTCTCTTATCAATCCCATATAACCCAATTCATTCCTACACATTCCGGTGAATATTTTAGAAAATATCAAGAAGCTGACCAAAAGGTGGGTTGAGGGATATCCCACCAAATTAGCCCTAGTGATTGAGTCGCCGTATGTCCACCAATGAACAAGATTGATCAGAAATAATATGCCAGAACCAAATTGAACAAGGATTTTGTACAGGTTACTTCAGAGAAGAAAGAGAAGGAAGCAAATTGGGATCCTTCGATGTACTTACCTTTGGTAAAGGCACACGTTAATCCGACGGCAATGCTGATCGCAACCGTGAAAATCGCGAGGAGAAAGAGGTTCACGGGGTGGCGCTGGGAGTAGCGGTGGAGCGGAAGAATCACTGAAAATGTCCCGCGCAATTATTCGTCAAAAAAAAACAAAACGAAAAAAATAAAGAAATATAAGAAATAGTGGAAAAATCATCAAACAAAGGATTCAGGAGAATGAAGACGCTACTCACGGATGAATGTGAGGAAGACGATGACGATGTAGACGGCAAGCCCCAGGCCAGAAGAGACGAAGAAATGGGAGATCGGATGGACGGAGACGACTACGGCCGAGACGACGGCGGTGAGCAGCAGCTGAATGCTGAGGATGGAATAAACCTTCCGAATGAAGGCCCATCGTAGATCGGGACTCTCCAGCATCATCGGGTAAAGAGGCACCGACGCTTCCCCCGCTTCGAGGTCTCCCCCTTTCCCATACCCCGGCTTCCACATCTCTCTCTCTCCTCTCTTCTCTCTTCTCTCTCTCTAGCTCTGCGGATCTCTGCAGGGAAGAGGAAGAAGATAAGAGAAGGTTCTACAGAAGTCGAGTTCTCTCGCGAGATCCGTAGAGAAAATGGAACGAAGAAACTTGTCAGGCAAGAAAATCTGAATTCTCTTGATGTATATGTATATTACGGAGAAATGTCTTATAAACCCTTTAAATTTTAAATTTTATCTTATACCCTAGAAGTTCTTATTGTGGGTATGAATCATTCATATAGTTTATTTGAATTATGTCCACGAGGGATCCCTGAGATGGTAAGTTTACAAATATAAGGTATGAAAGGCGAAAATCACATTGGCATGATGAGAGTGGTGTATTGTAGAAAATCGAAAATATCTGGGGGTCCAACTAATGAAGTCTGGAGAAAAAATGGGCTTTTCAGGGCCCATATAGAAAAAGCCCAAAACAACCTTGGCCCAGTCCTCAGCGGCGGCCATATTGTCTGAGGCCCGACTTTATTGACCATATTATATTTATATCCTCATAAATTAAAACACATATTTTAAAAAAAATATTAAAATCCAAATATTTTAAAAAATCCTGGTTGAGATGAGTCAAACCGGCTCGCCATCTATGACATGTTTTCGTGTAAAAGACACAAATATCCCCGGAGTGGCAGTCTGGAAGATTGACCGGCAATCTATCTCTCGGGGGACTTAACTTACAGAGACAGAGGAAGGGAGAGAATGAATGAGCGAGAGAAGGAAGAGAGGAGGAATGAGAGAGAGATGAGGGATGAGAGAGAGAGAAGGAGTATTGGGTGGGTGGGAACAGAGAGGAGGGAGGGAGGGGACGAGGAAAGGCGAGCCCGGCGAGGTAGGAGGAGAACTCACAGCGTCCAGTCAACCTCGCCGGCAGCGGGCTACTGTTCCCCCTGGGGAGGACGTCACTCTCTTCCCCACCTGGAGGATAGCGAGAGAGAGAGAGTGACCCATTAAGAAAGAAACCCTCCACACCCACACGAGATCAGAGAGAGAGAGAGAGAGAGATGGATGGAGGGGAGACTGTTGAGTTTCTTTTCTGGGTAAAAGCCGGGGGGTGCGCGCAGCGTATGGGGGGCGAGAGGAGGAGATAGAGAGGGAGGTGACGTATCGTAAAGCTTATCATTCTCGGTGTTCTGGTGTGTGTCGGGGGGGAGAGGGAAGGAGAGAGGAGGGAGAGAGAGAGAGAGGTGACCCATCATTGTAGTTCAGTTCGTTCTCTATCAAAGAAGGCAGCTTCACTTTCCTCGGTGTTGAGATAGAGAGGGGGGGTGGGGTAGTATCTCGCTAGCCTGGCGTATTCTTTATCATATTCAGGACACTCAGATTGCGCGCTCGGGCAAGGGACTAGAGAGGGAGTGAGAGGGCACAAAATTAGGACACAGCTTGTTCTTCCTTAGAATTCGATGGGAATGAGCGAGAGAGAGAGAGAGGAACAAGCTAAATGTCTTAATTTTGATACAGAATAGATTACGGTAATGTGCTCTCTCTCTCTCTCTCTCGTTAGCCTGAGTGCTCAATGTGAGTGTCCTGAATATGATAATGAATACGCAAGACTAGCGAGATATTCCCCCATTCCTCTCTCTATCCAAACGCCGAAGAAAGTGAAGCTTGTTTTTCTTGAGAATTCGATGGGTATGAGAAAGAGAGAGAGAGAGACAAGCTGAGTGCCCTAATTTTGATACTGAATGAGTTACGCTAATGTGCACTCTCTCTATCTCTCTCACTCGCCTTAGTGCTCAAGATGAGTGCCCTTAATATGATAACGAATACGCCAGACTAACAAGATATTCCCCCCCTCTCTCTCTAAAAGCCGAAGAAAGTGAAGCTTGTTTTTCTTGAGAATTCGGTGGGAATGAGAAGGACAGAGACAGAGACAGAGAAAAGAGAGAGAAACATGCCGTATTGTTGTAGCTCACCCTTCATCAAAATGAGCACACTCAGGTTCGTATCTGGGATGAAAAAGGGGGAGAGAGAGATAGAGGGGAGGGGAGGGGAGGGAAGGGGAGGGAGAGAGTTAGAGAGAAAGGAAAACGAGAGAGAAAGTTGACATATCATATCATCATGGTTCTTTACAATCAATAAGCGAGAGAGAGAGAGAGGGAGAGGGAGAGCAAGGATACTCAGATACTCAGACTCTCTTTCTCTGGTATTCAGATGACATAGACAGCGAGGGGATAACAAGCTTCCCGTTTTGTCCTGGAGAGAGATAGATAGACTGGTGACATGTTACCTTAGATCATTCTCTGACAAAATAAGCAGACTCGGCCTCTTGTTCTGGAGAATTCAAGTAGAAAATAGCGAGAGAGAGAGGGAGAGAGAGAGAGGGAGAGCGAAAGAACAGTCAGAAGAGCTGAAGAGCGTGACAGACTGAAGAGAAAACATGAAGAGACCTTCCGATAAGGAGGCAAAAGCTCAATCACAGCCATGAAATATTATGCGTGTAGCAAAATAAAAAATCTCTCTCTCTCTCTCTCTCTCTCTCTCTCTCTAGTGCGCATGGGGAACCTCACGAGGTAAATAATTAATTACACCATCAAACCATGCATGAGTTGCGGAGATTACCAGCACACACTCTGGAGGAATTACACCACCCCTTTACACTAACCCCATCCTCAAATCTACCGCCATCTCCATTTCTCTCTCTACCCCCCCTCACTTCTCTCTCTACCTCTATTTCTCTTTCTAGCTCAGGGCATGAAGAGCTTGCTGCCGCACTTGCAGCGCCACGCCTCTGGGTAGTACTCGAGGGTGACGCTCTCTCCGGGCTGGACGGCGACGTGGATCGGTCGGCAGGGAAAGCACCGCCCGCACCTGCCCCGGCACGTCGGCGGTGATGATCCGGGGCCAACCATCAGCCGCCGCCGGCGCCGCTGGTGTGCTCGATCGCCGCCGCCGTGGAGAAGCTCCGCCGCCGCTGGAGGAGCTCCTGCAACTCGTCCTCCTCGATGAAGACCCGGCGGAGGGGAAGAGGAGGAGACCTTCCTCTTACCCAGAGCGGTGGCGAAGACGAGGAGTGCAACGGCGGCGGCGGCGACGGCGAGGAGGCGGCGCCGGCTGCCACGGCGGCCTCCCATGGCTTTGCTAGAGAGAGAGAGCAGCAGCAGCAGTGCTGCACTGTTGCTGTGGCGTGCCGGTCAAGCAAGAAAAACCTGGGGGGACAGACGCAGGTGGAGACTCTCAGAGAGAAGAGAGAGAGAAGATGGAGAGAGAGAGAGAGCAGAGAGAGGGAGAGAAGGCGCAAGAGAAGGTTTTATAGGGAGGACCCCTCGGGGGGGAGCGGCGGTGCTGCTGCTGCAATGGTTGATTAGCTTCAGGGAGGGTAATTTCCCAAAAAAGGCACATTGTGATCACTATTTACGAACAAAAACCAGGACCCGCGGAACCGCGCAAGGCGCCGAAAAGGCGCGGATCCAAAGATTCGAGTCAACAGTTGATACGGACCAGTGCGTCACGTCACTCGGGAAAGTCCCACTGATTCAACGGCCTCGATTCCCCCACCCACTTCGCTCTCCATGCCAGTCCGATCGTGCGGTCCAGGTTCCCCCTGATCCCTACCCCCACTCCAAATCGAGCAAATCAGAGGTACCCCCTCCCCCGAAAGCCCCCTTGTACCCCATGGAACAAAAGAATCTAGAGAGAGAAGTTGGAGAGAGAGAAAGAGAAGGGGCGGGGGTTTGCCGTGCGATGTGATGTGATGGCGGAACAGTTCCGTGGAGGTTTGTTTGGTCGTCGGATGCTGCGGAGGAGAATATGAGGATAACGTTTTAGGGCTTTATTAATTAAATCCGCCGGAACATATTCGGGGCCCACTGGGATGAGTTGTCCGCGCCTTTGGGCTGCCACCTGGCAGTCAGACGTGTCCATTCTGGGAAGTTAAAAAAAAAGTGGGAAAAAAATTGACCTCGCGTACCGGACGACCCCCGGGGATTCTTCTTGTCCTCTCTGCCTACTTGCGTTTTAGAGAGAGAAAGAAGAGAGAGAGAGAGAGAGAGGGTTGGGGGACCTACGATGGCGACTACTCATGGGTGAATCAAGGCCGTCCGATCAGTGGGCTTCTATGTCGGGGGCCCAATAGGGAGGTGCGAGTTTTCAGGGAGACAGGGAGCGCAGCGAGATAAGTGCGGGTGGCAGGAGCGTAATATGAGTGGAGTGTAGGGGCTGAGTAGGGATTATAAATAGCACGTGTACAAAGCTGGAGATAATGGGGCGGGCGTGGGTCCGACGTGTCACCCATGATTCATTGTCTTTAACTGTTGGGTCTGTTGTGAGACAGGGAGGGCGGAGGCCGGATGACGTGGCTGTTAGCGGGGATCCGACGGGGAATATCGGAGGGGCGACGCGCGGTGACCTGGCAGATCCGGTTTCTGCGCAGCCTGCCATGTGGACTTTTGTCTCTTCCATGCGCGACATGGACCCAGGCTCAGGCTCTAGCCTGTCCAGCTATTTCCTCCCTCTCTCCTACGTGTACAGTGCCCTCCCCCACCCTCTTCATCGCCACGCCACGCCACCCTCGTTTCCTCATCACTCTCCCCTCTCCCCTCACTCTCTCATAACCTCTCCCTCCCCTTCTCTCTCTCTCTCTCTCTCTCTCAAACACACACACACTGTCTCTCTCTTTCTCTCTCTCGAAAACAGAACTCTCTCTCCCTCTCTTTCTCTCTCTCGAAAACAGAACTCTCTCTCCCTCTCTTTCTCTCTCTCGAAAACACTCTGTCTCTCTCTCTCTCTCGTAAACTCTCTTTCTAATTACATAAACGTCGATCAATCTCCCCCTGTGGTGCGGCCTCATAATTCTCCTCTCCTGCAATATCATAAACGTCTGCTTCTCCTCTGGTGGTGAAGGGGAAAGCTTCTCACTCTTCTCTCTCCCTCTCCCTCTCCCTTTCTCTCTCTAGTTTCTCTCTCTTCTCACTCTCGCTCTAGTTTCTTCGCCATCCATCCCATCACTCGCCACCAGTCTTCAAACCCATGAATCTCCATACTCTGAATGATAGAACAATCATTCATCCTGGAAGCTCTCAAACTCTCTTATCCTCATCTACCTCTCTCTCTCTCTCTCTCTCTCTCTATCTCTCTCCCTCTCTCTCTATCTCTCTCCCTCTCTCTCCCTCTCTCTCCCTCCCCCTCTCTCTCTCTCATCAACTGATCTCGGGCGGTGGCATGTGCGCTCACGGGCGAGCTCCTAGGCGCACCAGCTATTGCTATTCCGGTGGCCTACAGCTTTCTCCACACGTGTAGGACTCTACAGCGGCCACCCTCCCCCGCACGTGCGGGATACTGTCACGGCCGGCGGCACTCACCAGATCAGAATCTAGGACTTGTCCCTTCTGGCCAGGAGGTACGTGGGCGTTTCTGGGTTGCCCTCGCTGGGGGAGGAACAAAACGGGCGAGTCGGACTCGGGCGGGAATCGGGTCGTAATCAACATTTAGAACCCCATGTTTTCTCTCAATTGGATATTACGCGGGCATAAAGGCAATTAACATCCTACGGCCGCAGTATCTGCAGTAAATAAGTTGCGTGAGGGTAATTCCGAAAGTAGTCGGGGTGCGTGCCCACATGGCCCGACCAGCCCATTTAATTCGGCCGAACGTCGTATGAAGGGCCGAGGCAGAGGCGACGACCAAACTCCTCCGTCAGCAGATTGTGCCCTCACATGCCGAGCTTCCCTCATTGAGTGGGCTCATTTATTACTATTAATTAAATAATAAGGCGTCACTATTTTTTATTTGCACATATAACAAGGGCCTATACGCAATTTATCGAAACGGTCATCAGACAAGAAATCGCACTGTTTTGAGAAGCTGTTTTATTTTATTTTATTACTATTAGTATATGTGTATGTACCCTTTTTATAGGGTAGGCGTTGACCGTCGGTGTAACCAGATTTTGGAAAATAATCTTTCTTTTTTATATTGGAATATACTCGAGTTTGACTAAAATGGATTAAGTTTCTCAAAATATTAAATTATATGCATGGGTCAAACCAACATCAATGTGGTGAATCAGCATGGTTTGATCATGCATGTCGCCGCCACTCTCTCTAAATGACTGATTAACTATTTTGTGACATGTGATACTGCGTCCGTCACTTGCCATTTAATGATAATCTAATGAGGGTGCGGTTGAATTGATCTGCCCATACATAATGGTTACCCTCCATCTAGCTTTGACTATATGGCAAGATTCAAATCTGAGTCAACCTATAGGTCAACCCAACCATCTAGCTTTAACGTTTGTGTCTATGAGTGGTTGTCAACTAGAAGGAGATCACTAGAATGCCCACCAATTGGTGCATTGTCAAATCAAGGTATTAGTCCTAAATCATGAACATGGGTTGACTTTTCTTGGCGATGGGCACCAAATGACACCTCCTAGGAAGAAGTTTGACCCTAGCACAACCCTTTTATCGGTTTACTTAGGGTGTCAATTATGTCTAGTAGTCATAGAACCGGTTGACCCTTCATATCTTGCGCCAAGTATCAATATGAGATCATTATATAGGTTATGCCTAATATATATCTCTCTCTCTCCCTCAAGGTCAAACCAATCCTTCAAAATGGGTAGCTCGGGGTCCATTTCTCAACCATACCGTCAGGCCCATGGTCGAGCTGGGATACTTTTTAGATAGACCCATTATCTCGATTAGTTTTTGCCAAAAAGTGTTAAAATGGAAAAATTGTCAATATACCAATAATTCTCTTATTAAAAAGTTTATGATTCTAAATATGGGTTCCTTACCAGCCAGATCCCCTCCCCCCCCCAATTGATAGATATTATGGCTTGCTTACGTACCCTTTGGACGGAATAAATTAATAATGTTCCCCACCCACTCAACATTTGCAAGGAGTCAGGGATACAATGAGAATATCGTTTTCAAAGCAGGTAACTATGTGAGAAATTTTTTGGGTAAGGGCGTTTTCATGAATTTTTGGAGATAATGACAATTTTTCATACGGAAAGGTCCAAAGTGAAACATTGCGACATGAAATTTATGATTTGGATTATTTTCCCCATTAGAAAATAGAAAACTAATACTTTAAATTTCCTGCCGAAATATTGAGATAAATTAAATGATCGATAAGTAAATATTAATTGGGTAGAAGAGATGCGTCAAATGGCCAACTTTATTGAAATTAGGTTAACCGGAACAAATAAACAATCGGCAACATAATAAAAATATATAATATATTACTGTGTACTCGCGCTCTCTCTCTCTCTCTCTCTCTCTCTAGAACACTGTTTATGTTGGTAGTTGAGTTCCTCTCTCTCTCTCTCTCTCTCTCTCTCTCTCTCCTGTTTCGCTCTCGATCGCTGTGGCTGCGTCGCTTTTTTCTTCTCTAAAAGTCGCGAAGAGGACAAGTTGGTAAAGAGAGAAAGCAGGTCAGAGGAATTTACTGGTGGGCTTCTGAGCTTTGGATTCCAGGGGCCGGTTCTTGGCACGCCTCCCTCGCTCGATCTCGGTGGGCTCTGGGAGCAGCTTCGGCGTTGTCAGGTTGGTGGGAGTTCTCCTTCCCTGTTTGATGGCCCCCCCCCCCTCTCCCTTCGTTCTATCCTCGCGTGTGGCGTGAGCTGCGGCGGGAGGGTTTTCTGCCGGGCGGGATTAGCGGGATTAGCGGGATCGGGGAAGCCCTCTCGGTGGCGATGGAGATCTCGTGCAAATCTTAGACGGGATTTGGAGCGTTTCGCCTGAAAGCGACTCCTCTTGTCCACTTTGAATGGGATTCTCTGTTTGTGCTCCTGCGGAGGGTTCGGCGGAGGAAAGCTGACTCCTCTTTTCAATCTTCTTCGTTGCTTTCTCGTCAATCTGTCTGGGTTTTGCGTCCTCTTGTGAGATTAGAGGAAGGCCCCCCTTCTTCTTTCTCCTCCTCTTAGATTGAGGCGTTAGGGGAAGGGCTCCCTGTCGCGAGCCCTTGCTCGTTCTCGTACGCCACCGAGCTCGGAAGGGATCGTATTCAGGTTTTCGACGTAATTTGGGACCTGGAATCATTCTGGGCGCAGAGGGGAGCCCGTCGAGCGAAAGCCTGTGATTATCGCGGATAGGGGATCGCTTACGCGTGTTCGCCTTCTCCTTGCCCTCTTTCGATTTGTCTGGGTCGGGAGATTTGGGAGATTTCCCTCCTCTTCTCCGCCATGAGGAACATCTTCCTCTCTGATACCTGCAAGGAGACGCAGCTCCACCCCCTCATTCCGCAGGCCTGGCTTCAGGTGGAGAGGGGAAAGGTCTCAAAGCCGTCCTCATACGCCTCTTCTTCCATGTATGTGTTCTCCTACTTTTCCCCTTCTTCCCTGAAGAATAAGCTTCCGATTCTAATGCGCCAGCCTCTCTCTTCATTTCTGGATCTCCAGCGAATCTCTCATCAGGGTCGCCGAGCCGCCGATTCTGCCTCTCTTCAAGCCCGTTGACTATGTGGAAGTGTTGGCCCAGATTCACGAAGAGCTAGAGTCTTGCCCCCCCGACAAGCGCTCGGATCTCTACTTGCTGCAGTTTCAGGTCTTCAGGGGCCTCGGGGAAGGGAAATTACTCCAGCGGAGCCTCCACTCTGCCTGGCAGAGGGCGTCCTCCTACGAGAAGCTCATCTACGGGGCGTGGCTCAAGTATGAGAAGCAGGGGGATCAAGTCGTCTCCGACCTTCTCTCCTCGTGTGGCAAGACCTCCCAAGACTTTGCTCCCCTAGACATCGCGTCGGAGTTTCCCACCGAAGCTGTCCGGAACCCGGGCACAAGTTTCTCTGAAGATCTCATGGAGGATTCCAGCGCAGTCTTCTTCCGAATAGGAGGAGACGTAATAGCAAGCGATCGGAGAAGGATTGCGGCCCTGTCGAAGCCATTTCACACCATGCTGTACGGGTCCTTCACAGAATCGCAGATCGAAGTCATAGACATGTCGAAGAATGGGATCTCTGCTCTGGCAATGCGGGAAGTCATTAAATTCAGCAGAACTGGGAGCCTGGGCGAGCTGCCCCCAAATCTCCTGCTGGAAATCCTGATCTTTGCTAACAAGTTTTGCTGCGAGAGGCTTCGGGATGCTTGCGACAGGAACCTCGCACCCTTTGTTTCCTCAACACAAGATGCCGTTGACCTCATGCAATGCGCTCTGGAAGAGAATTCTCCCATCCTCGCCACCTCGTGCCTGCAGAGTCTCCTGCACGACGTGCCCGGGTGCCTCAAGGACAAGCAGGCTGTCGAGATCTTCTGCAATGTCAATAAGCAGCTGAGGGCGGTCAAGGTTGGACGTGCCTCCTTCTGTCTCTACAGTTTCCTGTGCGAGGTCGCCTTGAATGCCGACCCAAGATCAGACACCACAGTCCGATTCCTGGAGTGCTTGGTGGAGTCGACAGAGAACAGCAGACAGAAGCAGCTGGCATATCACCAGCTGGGTTGTGTGAGGCTCCTGAGGAAGGAGTACAGTGAGGCAGAGCGGAGCTTCGCCATCTCCTTCCAAGAGGGGCATGTCTACTCTGCCGCTGGGTTGGCAAGGCTGGAATTCCTTCGAGGTGAGAGAGTTGCAGCATATGAGAGGATGAGCTCCGTCATATCTTCCTCCCCTATCCGCCTCGGATGGATGTACCAGGACAGATCTCTCTACGCAGAGGGGGACGGTGTGTGGGAGGATCTCAAAGAGGCCACGGAGCTCGATCCCACTCTCATCTATCCATACATGTATCGGGCGGCGGTGTTGATGAGGAAGCAGGATGCACAGGCAGCGCTGGCAGAGGTGAACCGGGTCATCGGGTTCAAGCTGGCGCTGGAGTGCTTGGAGCTCCGGTTCTGCTTCTATCTGGCCCTCGAGGACTACCACAATGCCCTGTGTGATGTCCAGGCGATCCTCACTTTGTCCCCAAAGTATCGGATGTTCGAGGGGCGGGTGGCTGCTTCCCAGCTGCGGACCCTGGTCCATGAACATGTTGTGCAGTGGACCACGGCGGACTGCTGGATGCAGCTCTACGACCGGTGGTCGTCGGTGGATGACATTGGGTCCTTGTCGGTCATCTACCAGATGTTGGAGACCGGTGTGCCTAAAGGTGTCCTCTACTTCCGGCAGTCTCTGCTTCTTCTTCGGTATGTCTCTCGTCGCCTTTTCTTAATTGATCAAATACTTTCCAAACATGTTTGTATATATTATAGACATGGATGATATGGGCCTGGGTGGTCAGGTTGAATTGCCCGGAGGCGGCGATGCGAAGCTTGCAGCTGGCACGGGAGCATGCCAGCAACGATCATGAACGGCTGGTTTACGAAGGATGGATTTTGTACGACTCTGGGCACTGTGAGGAGGGGCTCCAGAAGGCGGAGGAGTCCATCAGGCTGCAGAGGTCGTTTGAGGCTTTCTTCTTCAAGGCTTACGCACTGGCGGACTCGAGCCCCAATCTTTCCTGCTCTGAGACCGTCATCTCTCTCCTTGAAGACGCCCTGAAATGCCCCTCGGACAGGCTCCGCAAGGGTCAGGTATGATGCCCCGTGTTCTTCGATGATTCCTTGATGCCCCTCCCTTCTTTTGATCAAGTTTTATGCGAAATTGAGTGATGGTGATCTCGCATCAGACTGATTTGTCGTCCTTCAATTTCCGCAATGCGATGCTCTACTTGTTGCCCATGAATAACTATCGATGCCATCGAGTATAAAACCTTGGTGGGTACTATGTGCCACGAACATGGTCCTCTCACAACGCTCTTGTTATCTCTTTGGAAGGAGAACGGAGAACAATAAATTAGATGAACAGAAAAAATGCGGAAAAAAGGCAATATAAAGATATGGGGAATGTAGTTTGCCCTAGTGAATCCAGTTGACGAGGAAATTGTGGGGAATGCAGGATTTTTTGCTTTCTTAGATGGAAAAGGGTTCGATTATAATTTGACCATGGTGTTCATCAGAAAGTCTCACCCATTTGTTTCATCCCATGATTTCTGTAGTTCTTTAGTGCAGAGATGCTGCAAAAATATGTTGTAATGTAGAATGGAATCATTTTTTCCCTAAAATTTGCATTATTTTTCTGAAAGCTGCTGAAGTGTCTGCGCCTCGAGAAACATCTCTCTTGAACTTCATACACCAGTTCTTGCAAGACCAGGCGAGCATTTCTCTTGAACAAGTGCCTCTGATCTGTTTTTGTTTAATCACTGGTCGCCATGATCCTCCTGACTTTTCCTATTGGCCATGTGGGAAACATGGGTTACTGACTTTGGTGGCAAGTCACTCAGACATCAATAAGTTGGATTTGTAGATCATAGTGATCATCTTCTACATGCACATGACCAGGCTTTTCAAGTGGATTGCATTATTTTATTGGGGCTTTGAACATAAGCTTGTATGCGTCAAAGCTGCGGTCAGTCTGGTTCATTATTTATAAGTTGGAAGTTAATTCATGGAATCCATCTTCTGAGTAGGCCAGTCGTGGGTAGATCTTGCTTTTCTTTTCCAGATTAACTTAAAACTGATTCTAATTGGTCATTGATTCGTAAACAATAACTGACAACATGCTAAACGAATCCCATCTGGACAATTGATGAGAAATCATGCCAGCAGACAGATAGCAGCTGGATTCATTCATGGAGGAGGGGAAAGGTCATGATTTTGTCTCTACTTCAAATAATAATAATAATAATAAAAATAATAAAAATAATAAAAATAATAATGGGTTCCTTGTACTGAGATTCACTGTTACTGACTATTTCGTTTGATCATCTTCGCAATTAGATGGGCTAAATTTATTTATGCAAATTGCCTTCATGGTTTTGACCGTGATATTATTTGTCTGGTTTATCGACGTACTGTGCTTGCCACTTCTTCGTCGCAACCATTCCATCTCCCTTGTGTGTGCTGTAAATGTAAAGTCTCTCTCCCTTACCGGTTCCCGATCGAGCTGATAAGGGCCGTATGTACACTCGTTTGCAGCTGTAAAGTCTAGGGACGGCTGTCTGTGACGTCGTCTTAGAAATTCTTGGGAAATCTTGCTCTCATGGCAGCTTCATCGGTGATGAGTTGCCAGAACCCTTCTCCCCTTTAGGGGGCATTTCTTTCACCGGGACGCCACCTTTCATGTGGCGGATTACGAACAGAAGTTCCCTAGCTCTCTGTTTCTCATCCAAAGGGGGAGTTTTTTCTTCCTCATTTTTCTATTTCTGCCCAGAATTCTTTTGACACATTGTCGGCTAAACCTGCTGTTTTTTAAGGCTTCTTCAGTTTTTTTTTTAATTTTTATTTACAAAATCCCCTTTGCTTTGTGATACGGGTGCTTTTTTCTCCCTCAAGGATTTCCTTTTTTGCCAACATCACCCCAGTTCGGAATCTAATGGCGTTAAGAATCCGACCCTTAGAACTCTGTTGTGGACTTGTGGTGGTGGGAATTAGGCGGGCAACAGGGGATTGAAAGGCCGGTTGTGATGGGCATTCCTGAATGATGCTGACCAGCATGGCGTCTCAATGGCTTACTGAAAGCGCATTGATCACCACCCTGTTGACTGATCGTAGAATTGAATGCTCTGAGCGAAGACTGGTGCTTCGTGGATGCTTCGATTCTAGAATGAGTTGCAGTAAGCTGACGTTCATAAAATCATTTTAAAGCTTCCAGCGCAGAATGAGTTGCAGCGAAGTGATTCTGCCGATTCTTCAGCCTCTGCTATGTAGATTTTCCCCCTCTTTCTCTCTCTCTCTCTCTCTCTCTCTCTCATTCTTCTGCGTCCAACTCCATTCAACAGGCCTTGAACAACCTCGGAAGCATATATGTGGACTGCCAGAAGCTTGAACTGGCGGCGGATTGCTACATTAGCGCCCTGAAGATCCGGCACACGCGTGCCCACCAGGGCCTGGCTCGAGTCCATTTCCTCAGGAACAACAAGAACGCCGCCTACGAGGAGATGACGAAGCTGATCGAGAAGGCCCGGAACAACGCTTCCGCCTACGAGAAGAGATCGGAGTACTGCGAGCGCGAGCTCACCATGGAAGACCTGCAGGTGGTGACCCAATTGGACCCATTGCGAGTCTATCCCTACAGATACCGCGCTGCAGGTTAGATTCGTGGCCGGGTGAAAATATAGAGCTCAGATTGGTAACTTCATGGCGGATGGTGTTGATCTTTGGTGGGTCTTGCTTGCTCTGGTGTGGTGTTTTTCCAGTGCTGATGGACAGCCACAAGGAGAAGGAGGCGATAGCGGAGCTGACGAGGGCGATTGCGTTCAAGGCAGATCTGCACCTCCTCCATCTCCGCGCCGCCTTCTACGAGCACATTAGGGACGTCTCCAGCGCCCTCCGCGACTGCCGCGCCGCCCTCTCCGTTGACCCCAACCACCAAGAGATGCTGGAGCTCCGCAGCCGCGTCAACTGCCTGGAGCCTTGATCCATGCCCAGCCTTTGCGCGCGGGTGGAACGCAGAAGACGGCGGCGTTTTATCTGTTTGTCGCCTCTATCCATCCGTCCATTCTTCTTCTTCTTCTTCTTCTTCTTCATCATCATCATCTTCTTCTTCTGCAATCTGTGTAGCCTCTGTGTCTTTGTGAATCTGATTGGTTTAATTCCATTGTGCTCCGTGAAAAGGAGCAATTTATATCGAGAGTTTCCGAGAGAGAGAGTGAGAGCGAGAGAACGGGGGTTCACATCTTCTTCGATGGATAACAAACATATACGGGGCTTCAGTTTTGTTAGAAGCCGGGATCGAATCACGGTGTGTAGATATTTATATATATTATAATAAGAAGAGGGAATATTTCCAGTAAATTCATCCATATTAGCTGATGGTCGGAAAAGGTTGCCACAGATGGGACCTTGACTGCTGGATAGATTTTGTTCGAGAATTTCTCTTTCCTTTTTCCTGCTCCCGATCTCCAGTTGGTCTTCTTCTGCCCCGACAGACCCGGTCAGACGACTATATTTGTCCAAGCCCCAACGTCTGTCTCCACACGAGCAGCTCCTTTCATCCCTCTCTCTCTCTCTCTCTCTCTTCCCTTCCCTTTTATATACCGGTGCCTGGGACTGCGAGGACCCGTGCGAAAGGCTCGAAGAAGATGGTGAAGAAGATGGGCAACCTGCGCGTGTGGCTGATCGTGGGAGTGTTGGCATGCCTGCTCCTGGTGAGAGCTGCCGCGGCGGAGGTGCAGGCGGAGGACGGTGGCGGCGCCCCCGCCGCCGCCGTGGACGACGAGGACGAGGAAGACGACACGTACCACCCCAAGGACATGAACAAGTTTCACGGTGCAGAGAACGAGCATGAAGAGTTGGGGTCAACGGCTGCTGTGGATGAGACCCCGGAAGAGGAGGAGAAGGGGGACACCGACGACGACGTGGAGGAGCTCCTGAACATCGAGCAGGAGCTGATCGTCCTCGGCCACTGATCGGAGGAGCAGCCTCGCCGGACTTTTCTCGCCATCGCGGTTTGATCGGCCTCCCTCTGCGATCTTCCCCGGATTATCGTAATGTAGCTTCTTGGAAACAGTCTTTTCATACTCTACGACATCACGTCCATCTCTCTCTCTCTCTCTCTCTCTCTCTCACTGTGTTTCCGTCTGCTTTCCTCTATCTCTATCTGATTCTCTGTGTCTCTATTTCTACCCGCTTATACATGCTTGCTATGTAAAGTTCTACATACACGCACGTAAAAACATATACATATATAGAGAGGGATAAACTCTTTTACACCCTTCTCACGGTATACGTGGCCATCTATGCATATGTCTACATATGTACATATATATATATACCTAAATACACATACATACATACATATCATACATATATATGTGGAGGGAGAGAGAGAGAGAGAGAGAGGATGGTTTCTTTTGAACCCATATATAAATGTATATATGTATACTTGTATACAAATATATAGAGAGGAACGGATAGTCTATTTTACATGTGGCCATGTAGAAAAATCTACATACATATGTATACACATATATACATATTGTACATACATAGAGAGAGTATAGATTCTTTTAGACCCCTCTTATAGTAAACGTGGCCTTAGATAAATATATGTACACACACACACACACACACACACACACACACACACACACACACCACACACACACACACACACACCACACACACACACACACACACACACACACACACACACACACACACACACACACACACACACACACACACACACACACACACACACACACACACACACACACACACACACACACACACACACCACACACACACACACACACACCACACACACACACACACACACACACACACACACACACACACACACACACACACACACACACACACACACACACACACACACACACACACACACGCACACCCAATCCTTGTAACATATTGTAATGACACAAAATGCCAAATTTTGAGGCCTAATCTTTATGTGGCATTCAGATGGGAGTTTCTTTCCATTCCTAATGTGGCATGACATGTGTGTCGAAGACTGTAGATCCCCTTTTCCTCTTACAAAGGTGGCGTGCTCATACTGTGCCAACATGGTAGACAATCTTTCAAAAAAGCTATTAGATTTAGTAATGGATCACATGTGGATAGAGTTCAATTGGTACTTTTTACACAATTGAGATGATTGAAGACCTCCTTAAAAAGGTCTCTCTTTACATACTTGCATCACGACAAGCTCTTGCGTCACGACAAGCTCTCCCGTTGGATAAACTGCCTACAAATGGTTATAAACAACATTAGAGTGTACAAATATGGTACTAAGTTAGTTTATCATAGAATTCAAGCTAGACTTACAATAACCACAGCATTGTTATTCTGATAAAAGGGAGAATGAGTATCAAAATGTCTAGTAAAAAGTAGAGAGCTAGCTCATGCAAGTGAATAGGTTATGTAAATCATGATGATATGTACAACTTATTGTGCCATTGAAACCAAGTAATTTTGTAAGCTTAGTCAAGTCATGATAAAAAAGTGTTAACCTCAAAGAAGCTCAAAGAAGTTTGAGATTTACATAACCCATTCACTTGCATGAACTGTCTACTTTGTACTAGAAATAATTTGATACCCATTCACTTGCATGGTTATTGTAAGTCTGGCTTGAATTCTATGAAAAACTTAGTACCATATTTTTACACTCTAATGTTGTTTATAGCCATTTATAGGCAGTTTATCCAAAATGAGAGCTTATTGTGACATGAGCTTGTCGTGATGCAATTATGCAAAAGAACACCTTTTTAAGAAGGTCTTCAATCATCTCAATTGTGTAAAAGTGCCAATTGAGCCCTATCCACATGTGATCCATTACTAAATCTAATAGCTGTTTTGACAGATTGTCTACCATTTTGGCAGTGTGGGGACCAAAAATATTATTGGTCGGATGAATGAGCCATCAAGATTTCCAATCTCAAAGAAACCCCGTTGTGCTGACGTTTGGTTGAATAAAAAATGAGAATTCCTACCAAAAATTTTCAGTATGATGTCTAAGAATTCTTATAGTGTCAAGAGACTAAATGATAATGCCACACATGCATTAAATGAATCTAAATTTCGAAACCATGCTAGAGTCTCTATTAATATACAAAAGCAAGTCGAGAATATTCAAGATGAAATGACTCCACAGTCAGAAATCTGGTCATCAAAGAAAACCAAAAGTGTCACATATATAATGAATGCATGTACCCAATAAATCAAATAATCACATAAGATTGGATGAACCCATAACTAGGAATCCTGGCAAAGTTTCCTTGATTGTATGCCACACAAAAACCAGATGAATACATACTGATAACTTAGTTTCACCATTAGCAGAGAGAATGAAAAGAAACTCTATCAAAGACTGAATACGTTTAGAAGTCACACTATCGAAGATACTGTAGAATGGCGTAGATCAGATGAACCCATAAATAGAGATTCAAACAAGGTTTTCATCATCATATAACGAGAAGACCCAATAACGTCATAAAATAAATCAATCCACATGTAAAAGAAACCCAACAACGTAATACATGGAACAAATGCACATATAAGAGGAACCCAACGATATCATAGATTAAACGAATCCATAATTAGCAATCCTTCCAAACGTTTCATGATAATATATTTCAGGATCATCAGAATATCGAGAAAATGGAAAAAATATTTTACAAGGAGACAGAACAAATCTAGTCCGAAAGGTAGGAACCATGTCGATCGAAATATAGAAGGTCGTCATGCTCTCTCCCCAGCATCTCAAGCAGGCTCACCTGGTCTCTCCAGCTCCTCTACTCCCACGAATCGTCGTCAGCAGGAAAAGATATCAGCTCATCGATATCAAGCTCCTTTCCCTCATCATCCTCCGCCTTGGAAACCTCGCCACCGTAGAAGATCATCTCCACGGGTTCCTCGTTGACGGGGGTGGGAGGGAGAGGAGAAGATTCATTATTCCAGTCAAAAATGATAGAAAGGTCCTCCTCATCCTCGGGTTCTAGGCCAGCTGGGCACCATCCAGCCGTCCACTCTACTTTCTGCTCCGAAGCGGGGCCCACCTCAGCGGCATTGCCGGCCTTGCCCTCCTCGGCGGAGGGCAGCTGGTCGAGGCTGTTCATGTACTCGAGGAGCACCGAGAGATGGGGCTCACCGGCAGCGGTAGCGGCGCTGCGGTACTTCCTCCTGGCGAGGCGCTTGCGCTTGGAGGTGTTCCAATGGTTTTTGATGGAGTTCTCGGTTCTACCGGGGATCCTCCTGGCTATCTCCGCCCACCTGTTGCCCAGCTCGGCGTGGGCTGCCACCAGCGCCATCTCTTCCTCTTGAGTCCATGAGTCCTGCCGCTCCAACACCCCATAAACAGGGAAGAAAATCAGAACCGGGAGTGTCCAGGACCATTCAACGACAGAATAATACTGGAAAACGGTACCTCGTTCTCTCCGTGGGGAGTGACTAGGGGAAGACGATGAAAACCCACGAGGATAAGACTGGAGAATTATGCTAAAAGAGGTGCTTTATTCACACCCAAGGAGGATGATAATGGTGACCATTAATGGAAGAAAATCAAAACCGGGGACCAACGAGGAGGATCCGCATGCGGAAAATGGGCTTTGTTTCGTCACTCCCCAGAGAGTTAATGGCGATGATCCCAAGAAGAGAAATCAAAATCGAAGAGCGACAGATAACATCTGACTGGAGAATTATGGACAACATGTGATTTTCATCACAACCCATGGCGTTGGTAATGGCGGTGATTAGGGGAAACAAAATCAAAATCTAAGAGAAAACACCATGAACATCTTGATGGAGAATTATGCTAAAGATGCGATTTTTGTCACGCCCAAAGAGGTCGCTGGACCCAAGGTCGAGAAATGCAGCTTGCTCTAGACGATGTTCGACGGAACCAAGCCGTTTCTCTAGGGTTTAGCATGATCCTCTGCCTCTCTCTCGGTCTTAATGCTTCTCTAGGGAGAAAAAACGAACCTTGATATTAGGGCGGAGATGGTTATGCCACCTCTCTCGGCACTGCTTCCCAACCCTTCCGACGAGCGTCCTCGCTATGTGAGACCACTTCTTGTCGCCGTATGTCTCCACAAGATCGACCAGGAGCCTTCAGGTACATTACAAACGACAATGGTGGACACGGAGGTCAGCCACTCGATCGATCAGCCGCATATAGAGAGAGAAATGGTGAAAGCAAAACCAAAAGGCTGATGAATCCTCAGGAGAGAATTCTCAGCGGTGAAGAGCGGGGGTGAGGGGGAGGGAGGTGAAGTTGATGCTCAACTGGTCTTCCTCAGCTGTCCATTGCCCCTTGACGACCAAAGGGGGAGCGTTGGGTTTGGCTCTCTGGCCTTCTGCTACCATTAAAGAGGACATCCCCCTTTCCAGAAGGTCTCTTCCTCCTTCCATTTCCCCGATTGTAGACAAGAGCGAGTGAGAGGAGAGAGAGTGAGCGAGAGAGAGAGAGAAGGGGCGGGAGTGCGGTTTTACGTAGTATAAAGGTCTATAACGAAAGGCGTGGATAAGTCCCCGTCAGATGGCCGGGAGTCCACCATGCAAGTGACGTTATGTCTTCTTCTCCCGTTCCGACTCGCAGTACAGACACTCCTCATCGATCAGAGCGGGAGAAGGCAGTGAGGATGTGGCTCATTAAGATTTTGATTCATTTCCCTCTCTGTTGTAACCAATGTTCTGGGCTCTATGATCACTTTGTCAATAATAAGGGCGGAAGCTAGGCTTGACTAGGGACCCCAGACACCTCATTTGGGCCTCAACTCTCGCCCAAGAACCCCAATAGGCCTACCCAACATACAACAGCCCACCTTCTAGAGACTACTTCTTGATCCTCCTCTTTCTATGTCTGGGCTAGGCTCCACACTCTTAGAAGAAATGGGCTTGACTTCTGTCCAGTTTAATGGCCCTTACTTACCATCTAGTCGTTAGCATCTGCTAAATGTTGACTCTCAAAGTGACATAAATCTAAAACGGACAAGTGTGAATTAGGGTTTTAAATCACTAGAAACCAAGGTTCAAACCGGCGGTAGTGAGAATCAGACGTTAAGAACGAAAGTATCTTTCGAACCCACGATTGCTGGTTCAATCAATCTGCCTGTGCCCATTTGTGGCAAAGAGCCGGTGATAGCCACCCCTTCTTCTCCTCCTTGCAGGGTGACAAATACTAGTTCATATGGTCTTTGCTCACCAGACCAATGAGAATGTGTGTCAAAAGTATCTCAAAGCTGTTATGTTATGGCAGGACCACTTGTCTCCTAGGTTGCATTGAAGCAGACACTTGGTTGCTGTTGGCATGTTAATCGTGTAGAAATGACATTTATTGAATGGTAAACATATTATGATGACAATATTTGGCATTAATTAATTAATTTTAAAATTGAAATATTTTATCTTACCATTAAAAAATTTAAGTGGCCAGAAATAATCTGGTTAATTACATAAAATTAGTGTAGATGTGGTATAATGTGGTTTATTATAAAGTAGTGGTAAATTTAGGTGATAGTTGATAATTGAGGTGCGTATAGGATTAGTAAGTTTTGGATTTTTCTGGAGACTCCCCAATTTTTTTCGCAATGTCTTAGAAACCTTTGGATTTCTCCCACACGAGTTTCCAAGAGATGCTTGAGAAATCACCTTGTTCTTTCTTCATCATTGAATAAATAAATAATTCATGACTATATTTACCCATAAATCAATAATAATAGTTGAATAGTTTCGAGGACCTTAAAAGTAAAATGGAATAATAGAGGGACATTTTGGATACGTAAGATTCTTTTTTGCGTGAATACCAGATAAAAATTCATGCGTTTCTGAGTTCAAATAAAAATTCAGTCGTTCGCGGCGTGTAATTCTCCGGCGCGGAAGGCGTCAGCAGAGGCCGATACAGAGGGCCAGTTGGTCTCGTCTCCGTGCATTCTTCTTCTGCAAGTTAAGTTTAAAAACCAGGGGAGTGTTACCTATTGGGAGGGAATTTCGGGGAGATGGAGCCTGGGTTTCCCAACATCAGGAGGTGGATCGTGCTCCACCCAGTATATATTAATTCTATGAAAACGCAGGCTGAGGGACGTCGAATCGGTGTTTCCCAAGCCTGCGAGAACCCCACCTGCGTTGAGATCGCTGACTCCTGCGGGTATCTCAGACTGCTGTTCGCCGTTGAGGTATTGTTTCTCTAATTCGTCTTTCAGAATTGGTAGACTTCATGTGGGTTCCTTCATTTTTCCTGAAATATTTGTATGTTGCCTATGCAGATCGACAAGCCCTAATGAGGGAGGGTCTTCATGCAGAGGGATGGAGTGAGGGTGTTGCTGAAGAAAGAAGACGGATCCCTGACTAATCCTGAGATCAGTTCAAGTGACATTCACATGGACTATATCTGATTTCCTATTTATGTCGTGTGGTACATGGGAAGTTAATTTTTTCAGTTGCGACTTTGATCACTGCTGTTCTCTTGGCTGCTGTCATGATGTCTCTTCGCCTGATTTGCCCAACGATTCAGTGGCACATTACAACTATTTGCTCACTTCAGGGAAAACAATTCTGATTTTGTGTAGGCCTCTATAAGTTTGTATCGGTGGTGTTGTGTGTGGAGGTTAGGTGTCTTGGTACTGGTTGATATGATCTTGAACTAAGTATATCGTTTATGAAAATTTCATGAACGTAATGATCACCTGCATATTAGAGACTAGTACGATACCATATTTGAAGTTTTCCTGGGATTCAGTATCGAATTCTATTGCATCTGGACAATTGCTTTTAATCGAATTTTAAATTATTTATTTATTGCATCATATCATGCTTTCTAATAAGATTGCATTGGACATGAATTGCTTGCCAGAGGCATGACTTCCTTACATGCCCTTAAGTTCCGGGAAAAAAAAAAACCAATCACTAGTTCTAATTGTTCACTTATCCAATTTTTCTTCAAATGTATACTTTTAGAAGGGCAACTAATTTCCATCTTTTAATTCATCTGAACTCTTCCCAAAGCACCTCACCCCCCCATTCTTCTTTCTAAATAGGTTTGTGCACAGTTATCAAGAAATATGGTTTATCTTTTCTGAATGGTTTTTCAATCTGTACTGTAGATGGGTGAATATTGATGATAGATGGTTGCAACAGTTTTGTCATGATTCTGTGTTTCTCTGTTTTGTAGATGAGAAAAGAATTGCTGTCTTTTTAGAAGAATTTCATTAGTTCTTTCTACTCGTAAATATTCTTGGACAAATTTGTTCTGTTATTTGTTCTATTACCATTTCTGGAGCCACCTTTTGACACACATTTTAACCTTAGCCTGAAATGCCTTGGGAACGGTAGACGCACAAGGAACAATGAAGCTGTATTCCCTTCTGCCACTCTCCCTTTTATCTGCCATATCACCTCCAACTGGGATCACCTTTTTCAAACATTTTAAAGTTTATGCTTAAATGTCTCTACTTTTTAGTTGTTTTTATTTTTTTAGCCGAGGTCAACCAACGCTGGTCTGGAATGGTATAACCTTACTAACTGCTTGTATCCAACCCATCACTGTCAAATATTTAAAATTATTTATTTTCTCGAGCCTACCACTTTCAAGTGTATCCTCATTCTCTCCATTTACATTTTAGGCTCAGTATGCCTGCTAGCGTAAGTCAATTCTACTTCCTGAATTCAATTCCGGGCATATTCAAATCTAGATATCTGTGGAATGTGTTCAAATCAGACGTGAAATAAATCACTAATGCAGTCTTCTATAAATCATTGCCCGGCCTTTGTTATGCCCAGTTCAAAGCTAAGTGGAGCTTAAATTAATGAATTCTCTTTAAAGCTTGACATGTTTCACTAAGCCATTATGAAGCCTCTTCTGATCCCTTTATATGGGTAGCAACCACTTATCAAGCTAACATATGGGTAGCAAACATAGCTAGTTAGTGTATGCGTCTGACTAGACAAGTGTTTGCCTTACTCATCTCTCTCCATGTGGGACATAGTGCTGGCTACCTAATTATAGCCTGTATCTGGCTTATTTTGATTTTCATGCTTTGATTATATTATGACCTAAATCTGTAGCTTTTTGAATTTTGAAGGGAACAGGCTTCAATTAGGCAGCTCAATCAGATATCCAATTGAATCAGACGTGGCCCAATATACACCGTTTTGATTCAACCCAAAAATTGAGTGGCCTGTTTACATTGAACTTTAATGTATTGAACAAAAGCATTATGAGTGTTTACTAAATCCGAAGGTATAATTAATCTTCCTAATGGAACTTCTGATTCATAAAAAAATGAAGATGAAAAAGAAAGGGGAGTCGAAAATTATGTTGATCATCATGAAATGCTATGCTGAACACGGTCTGGCATAGTGGGATAATTGTCTAAGCATTGCTTGAACTCAGGTGTGCAGTACTTTAGGTTAGTGTAACTATTTTTTCATGAATATGGTGACTTGCAGTTTTCAACTGGAAGAGAGAATAAACAAAGTATAGCATGGTCAATTTCTATGAACCGTGTGAAATTCTTGTCAAGGTTCACTAAGAGCTACCATGATTGCAAAAGAAAAGAGGAAAATGTTTATCAATTTCACACAAAATAAGTGACCAGTAAACATAGGTGAATTAGTTTGATTAAAAAATCAGTGCAATAATTTTCTTTTTCACTAAATGATGTGCCCATTTGGTCAAACTGATAGCAGTAAAAGAAAAATAGAGAGTGCATATTTGAGGGTCCTATGGTGATATGAGTTTTTATTCAAACGAAAGTGATAATGCTATATTCTAATGTGGTAATTCATGTTATATCATTATAATTGGTGTGTTAATTCATAAAAAATTACATGGTTAAGAGGCTAATTCAAAAAAAAAGTGTTTTGACTCATTAGTATGAGGGTCATAGTATGAATTTCATGTTACTTTATGTCACGTACATGCATAAGATTTCCTTTTAATGATTGAATTATAAGTTTAAATCTTTCTTAATTTGATTCATAGGTCTTTACTCATAGTTTATGAATTTTTAGGTTTTTTCTAGAAATTTCCTTAAAATTTCTACAATTTTTCTGTATTTCTGATTTTTATGGAATTTTCCAGCAAATTTTCGTGGGAGTTTTAACAGCTATGAATTTATGTGATATCGACAACGCTCGTGGCAACGGTGGTGTTGAAGTTCCCCTTCTGCGTGATAGGCATTAGTGGAGTCGGGTATGGTGGCACCGACGCTCACCGTGACGACGGTAGCTGCAAGTTGATGACGGTAGCTGCGAGTTCCTTTCTTGCATGACAGCGGTTGGAGGATCCACTTCTTGCTTCAACGGAGGGTTGCACGAGGTGTGTTCAAGCTGTGGACTGATCCTCAGCATAGCATAGAGTGTCGGGGAGCTCTCAAACTATGCACCTAAGACCAGTTTTATCCTCTTCCCCT